AGAGCACCATTAGGCTCACAGCCCTACCGAGTTGAGCTGGAGGGCACTTGGATATGTAGTAGTGGCTCCCTACAAGGTATGGGCTCAGGGGGGCAGGGACTGCGGGTACAGCTGTCTTCTCCTGGATCAAAAACTTGCTGTGCGGCTAGCTTTACAAGACTGGCAGAGAGAGGTGAATCCTCGCCAGGAGTGGAGATGGGCTCCATATTGTGGCCTACGCGTGGCATTGGATGACTTATGAGGTACTGAAAGTAGAGACCCTGCCCGACTCTAACCACCAGCCTGTTTGTACGGTGCAGGGACTCCAATTATTCCATCCACTTCTAGCTCATGATGTGAATTGTACCCAGCGGCACTAAAGCTATACCATTCTATAGATTGGTTCAGCACATTTAGCCTCCCTTAACCATATCTATATAATTAAATGTCATATCTTTGACTCTCCGCTATAAATGTGTTCTTGTGTATTTTACTTAGACATGTTGGCTTAGCCTTAATAAGCTTACTTATTTCAACCTTTATGTATAGACAATAGTCTAGGTGTACTGCCACTAAAGTAAAGTAACTCTCTAGCCATTGAGGTTTAGCGTGCCGTTATACCTTCATTTCATGTTATTTTTCTATTATGAAAAGTGTATTATCATATGACATCCTACCCTGCATCCCAGATGTTTATTGACGTGTATATTCCTGCTACGATGTCATTACCTGCTTGTATGCTTTACTATGTACGCAAAAATAAAGAATATATAAAAAATAAAAATAAAAAACCTCATTGAGCCCACCTGGGGAATAACTAACTGATATTACTTTCATATTTCTCTTTCAGCCAAGGCTAGCAAAGAGTAACGGGACTTGTAGATCAGCTAGAAGAATAAGGGCGGACATCTATTTACAATATATATATTATAATCCCAAACACCTGTTCTCCCAAGCCTTGTCCAATGTGACGTCAATTTGGTGGCAAGAACTGGGTATTTATTTTTTCTTAGCCGGCTATGCACAGTGTGTAACATTTTGCATATACAGTAAAAATAAATAAATAAAGCAATCCTGGTGTTTACTTGTCTAGCTGTAATTACACGGCAATCATCGTCTCATCATTTCATCCACTAATTATGTTAATTGCTCACCAAATTTGTTAATTCTTTTAATGTGCCTTGGAATGGCAAGGGACACAATGGAGAAGTATGATTATAGAGATACTTCCAATGCAATTTGTAACTGTAACACACAAAGCCTTCTTTACTGGGCTCTAATCATATCTGCTTCCAAATGACATCGAATTATTTTCTCTTTACGCCAGGTAGACGGTTTTGCATGGCTGCAATCATGGAGCTCTGCATATCTATCTCTTTAATTGCTTCTGAATCAATATTGACATCATGTCTTAATCTAATTTCGTTGTGTCGCCTGTAAAGAGAATTACCACCAGATGGCAGTGTAGACCATGTTATGGATAGTGGACCTGCGTAGGGGGGCTATTAAGCATTTTCAGAAAATGGATCACAGCTGTGATAACTAAAAATCTGATGAAATATTCCAACGGATTTATTAACATACAATAAAACTACATATGACACATTGCACATTGGTATTTGAGATTGTGGGCATTATTAGAGCATGTCAGTTCCTACAAAATTGACAGAAAAACATCACCCAATATGCAGTGTTGGGTATGTACACATGATCTATCCACCGAACTAACAGGAAGATCACTAGCCACTGGCAAGTACAAATTCAGCCTTGGCAAGTAGAAATTCACTCCCTGGTAAATGTGCCATGGACTCTCGAGACTTGCAGTGGCAAGTACCTTGCAATGACTGGCTAGTGGTGTAGGACTTGAAACTATGTACTATAAACCCAAATTTTAAAATCTATGGAAAATGTCTCCGATTAAACTGTAGGGGGAGTTTGGGTATTTAAATGTTGCAATTCCGTTTTAAATTTGTGATTTAGTGAGTAACTCCCAGTGTGATTTTCGAATATTTGTTTAGAATTACTTTGCTGTTGGCTAAATCATGGTTACTCATGTGTGTAGGAAAGTTATCAAATCATATACTGACTAATTGATTGTAGTAATAAATGTTTTGTTAACACTTGATAAGCAGGGCAGGGCACCTTAGACTATCTGTTTATTTAATCTCAGTAAAACAAACATATATGTTTAAATTCATTGATTTAAATCAATAAGTATTTGTAAAATGAATATAATTTCACAATGGATCAGAGAATCTGCCAGTCAATGTTCTTCTATATACTATATTTTAGCGGCATACAGTTAAAGGCACAATAACAAATATAATATCAAATGTTTAGAATTCCCATAGTATGCATCTTTTATAAAAACAAGCAAACCAAAAAATCTCTAAGGAGCTTTTGCTCTGAAACCGTAGTGGTGACTTGACAGTCAATTGCACGCTATGTAATAAAAAATCTAGATGTCCATCGTTATTTTGGTTTAAGAAAGCATGGCACGATATCTAAGTAGCTGATTGGTCATTTTTATAGTATAAGAGTACTGCAACATTGAAACAGATCAGTGTTTATACCAATTAAGAATATATGAATGTCTATATATCATGTCCATAGTTTAACGGGTTTAAGTTATATTTAAAAACACATTGTCTAAAAAATTGCTGGCTTATTTTAAAAACATTAACTCAACATCTTGAGTGGTTTTAGACTCTCGTGAGTCACAATTAAAAGTACGTGACAATATTTTAAAACGGCGGATTAGAATAATACGGCGATAACGCAGTGTGGGAATAATATTAACTAATTAATCCCACCTTTTAATTTGGAATCACCGTGTTTAAAGTTTAAATTGGAACTACTTCTTGTGTGGTTTTTGCATTTATAACAAAGATCATCCGAGGTGAAGTGTCAACGTTCATGGGGGCACCTAAGGTGTATGGGTTTTGGAGGTAGGAATACTTAAAGCCTCTTCCTGGCACTGCTAGTTTCTTCTTCAGCCTAGACTTCTTGCCGTAAGCCACATCACTGGTGCATTCATGTAAATGTGTGAAAGTACAAAACTATTGTCTTTGGAAGCCCATTGGACCTCTGTAGACAACCTTGATTATGCGTAATGAAGTCATAACCATGTGTTGCACATCATATGATACACATTCCCATTAGGTGGTAGTAGCAATAGCTATTTTACAAAAACTCTGTGGATCGCATTGGAATTTCAACGGATATCTGGATTTTCAGTGTAAATCCTATCTCTTATGAAAATCTCAAATAAGTGACAATGCTGCTTTAATTAACTATGTCCACTCAGCCTTCTATTGCTGGGAGTGCTGTCATGCATAGCCCCATAGCATGAAGCATTCATATGAATTCAACAAAACTGCTGTAACCAAACCTTCCTAGCTGAGTACGTCTTGCACGTTGTAAACAAGCATTTGCAGTGAAACTCAAATGTTATTCCATTGACCCTTAAACAGACAAAATAAATTCATTATACGGCATACATGAGTTTGATTATGCAAATCATTTGTGCAGACACATGGGTCATTTTTCACTAATGTAAATGCAAATGTAGTGAATTGAAACACAAATCGCTAAATTTAGCTAAAAATAACCGATTTGGAAACTTAATCTATAGTCACAGCATGGATTTACTAACTTGAAGTTTGCTATTGGGTTTGAATTCACTCCAATTTGGTGTTTAGTGAAAAAAAAAACCTAGAAAAATACAAGAATGTTTTAAAAAACAAAAATCACAATTTTTCTTCTAAACGTATGCCAGCTCAGAATAAAAATATTCAATAAAATACTCACAGAATGATTTTATTTTATGTACTTGTTACATTTGTACATAGTACATTACAGTAAACAAATGACAGTACAAGTAATTGTAGGTACAAATATATATTTACTGTGTAAATAAAAGAATAGAAACCTCTTGTGTTAAAAATAAATCTAAATAATGAATCAAGAACTGTGAGTCTCGGAAGATTTTTTTTTTTTTAGATAACTTCTCTGTATTTTACAAAGTGACATGACCACCCCTAAAAATGCTACTTAAACAGCATTCAAAGCATATACTGAAAAATGAGAAAGTCGACTACATGTGAAATATACTGTGAGTTTGAAATGAGTATTCAAAGTTATTCAAGATGAACAGGACTCAGACCATCTCTGATGAAACATAGAATGTGACGGCAGATAAGAACCATTCGGCCCATCTAGTCTGACCAATTTTCTAAATACTTTCATTAGTCCCTGGCCTTATCTTATAGTTAGGATAGCCTTATGCCTATCCCATGCATGCTTATACACCCTCACTGTGCTAATCTCTACCACTTCAGCTGGAAGGCAATTCCATGCATCCACTACGCTCTCAGTAAAGTAATACTTCCTGATATTATTTTTAAACCTTTGCCCCTCTAATGATTAGTTAGACTTGTGTCAATACTGCCACCTTTAAATAACTGAGTGATATCAAGTTAATGATAAAGCTTTGTTACAATGTATTTTTGTTAAAATGTATTTATAGATCACCAATAATTTACGTGATGCTTGTGGCATCATTTAGTATGTTGCAGACATAAATGGACCAATTTAACCACTCAGCACCCATTTTTTACCTCCTTATTTCTAAGTAAAAAATTGTAATCAATCCTAATGTATGTGATCAATAAGAACAAACGCTGATAAGCACGGTTATGCACTAAAGTGTGAATTGTTGTGAATTCATAGTGAATTTTTAACTTTTCTAATGTGACTATTTTGGCTAATATTTCAAATTCTCTTCGTGTTGTTGAATAACCCCTATTAGATGGCTGGTTCATTAGTTCAGTCACATTTTGTCCAGCAGGTGGTAGCACAAATCTTAACTGGTTCGTTTATAGCAAAGGGAGAGAGTCTGGCCTGGGGGCGCACACGTCATATGTAACCTTTAGACCATAACTAAAGGCCTTTTAAGAGACAGCAGCTCAGCAACAAGTGTGTGTCAAAGCAAAGTAAATGCTGATTGCTGCTCAGTAATTATGGTGAGTTCATTTGTTGTATGTCTTGATGTAAGAGGGACAGAATACATAGACACATGTTGATTTTACTACTCTGCTTTGAACCATTCTAAGTAAAATATGCCAGTAAGATTAATAATTACCAGTTACTCACTCTCAGGATTATTAACTAAATTGTGAATTGCCAGGAATGCTACGTGAATCACAAATTTAAAGCCAGAATTCCTAAACTTACACCAATTCCTTCATATTTCAATGTGCCTTTTTGACCTGAGTTTTCTACTTTGAATTTCTGTTTGCCACATTTAACTATTTATTTATCAAGTAATATTAAACACTGCGTGTTGTGCTGTTTAATGTAGTGTCTTACTATCTATTATTTATTTATTTATTTATTTACTCTGACAATCCTTTTTTACTCCTTTAAAAAAAAAAAATAATTTAATGGAATATTTCAAAGTATTACCACATTAATTTTTTTTTTTACTGAAATTCTCTTTTTTTTTATATTACACAAATCCTGTGACATTGGTTAAAGTTATATTTAGATGTAATTGCAATATTTTTATTTTTATTTTTTTTCACTTAATGGCAGTTATAAGTAAATAGGGTTACCATAGCCCCCATGTTTTTCTTGTTATATGTGTAGATATGCAGCATGTAAAAAGTGCTGCCCTGTAGAATGCAAAATATTAATATTGCAGGCAGAAATAAAAAAACATGATTCAATAGGAAATCCGGAAGCGTATCATGTCTACATAACTACAAGAAGGACATTATTAGCTCTGCCCATCATCATGACAAATTGATGTTTATCCAGGAAAATGTATTGGATCTGTAAAGCCTAGCTCTAAGTGAATATAAGTATGTGTTCTTGTATTATAATTGCTTAGGAATATTCTTAGAACTCTATTATAGAATAAACCATGTATTTAAGCAATGAGGTATGATGTCTAAAGACGGTATACATATAGTACATCATAAGGAATTATACTCTCCAATTTTCCACTATTGTCTGAATTACATCATTTCACTCATTGGGAACCTTATAAAAAACATTAATATGGGAATAGCCCCTGAATAATAAGGTTTTCCCCTTATTGTAAATGTGCCAAAATTACCTATATATTTATTAACATATACAATCTTGCATTACCATTGGAACAAAAAAACTAATGTGCGGGACAAAATAAATATTTTATGATCACTATAGTTTCTTTTTAATTTCATAGGACCATTATGACAGTGATATGGTATGATATTGGTATGGGATTATAATCAGTTCACTAACAATATTTTCTATTTTACACAAAGAGTCCTCAATACTACCTCGGAGCATTACTGCTGATGTGTGGTGCACTCGCTTATCTTCAGGTAAATGACTGAATCAGTTAATATTAACATATAATATTTGTGTCTCTGTATGTATTCTAGTGTAGTATTAAAAGGACACTATAGTCATCAATACAACTTTAACTTTATGAAGCAGTTTTGGTGTATAGATCATGCCTCTGAAGTCTTATTGCTCAATTTTCTGCCACTTAGGAGTTAAAACAATTTTGTTTCTGTTTATGCTGCCCTAGCTACACCTCTCCTGACCTCGACTGACACATCGTGCATGAAAAAAAGTTAAATTTTTGATCAGATGTTCACTTTTTATCTCTTGCTCTGGGAATTGAACTTTAATCACGTACAGAAGGCTTCTGAAAGATCTAGCAAGCTATTAACAGTGCAGAAGATAAGAAATTTCAAATTAAACAGAATTTGTAACAATGGAACTGTAAACATTAGATCACCTTTTACAGGAAGTGTTTAGGAGGGCAGTGTAAGTCACATGCAGGGATGTGTAACTAGGGTTGCGTAAACAAAGTGATTTAAGTCCTAAATGGAAGAGAATTGAGCAGTGAGATTGTACGAGCATAGTCCATACACCAAAAGTGCTTCATTAAGCTTAAGTTGTTTTGATGACTGAGGGACAGAATACAGAATGACTTTGAGAAATGGTCATTTAAAATATCCACCATGCACAATAAACACAAGAATAACAGAACCTGTTGTTTAGGTAATAGGACACACTAAACAGCTTTTCATACACATCAATTAGTGTCTGTTCATGTTTCATTCATACAAGAGGGCCTTTCTGGCTTCATGTATGTATTTATGGAAATTATGTAAGTCATAAAAAAGCTGTAAATCTTCTGGGATTTCCTAAAATATACAATCATTTTATAACCAAGATCTAATTGAAATGGTTTATGCAGTAACTCTAAAAAAAAACAACAAAAAAAAAACATGAAACAAAAAAATAAACACCAATGATTTACAAAAAGGCCCCCAAAAGGGCTAATGGTTATTTATTCACACAAACCGGTGAATGGCAATCCTTCTGTGCCCCAGAGCCCACAGCATATATGGTGGGCAGTTTTTATGGCATAATAATGTCCCTCATACAGGGTTGGTTTGACAACAAAAAAACCAGAGGAACTAAATACATATTCTTAATGCACTATAACCACTGCAATATGTTGTGTCCCTTTAATCTTTAGTGTAAACATATTCTAATGTTTTTCTGCATAGAGCTGAGGCTTTACTAAACAGTGAATTGTGATACATTTGAAAACCAAATTGCATAAAGTAGACCCAAAGGATCCTACTCTTTTTCCCAACATAGTTACTTTAGACCGTTTATTTTTTTCAGTAATTCAGAAAAACGAAGTTAATATATTTAGATCTGTTATTTGTATATCTTAATTGTACAATGCTGTGGTAAAATGTAATATATATATATATATATATATAAAAATGCTTTATAGAAAAGAATACTAAAAGTTTTATTATCAGTAGCTCTATGTATATTGCTAGCATTTTAGAAAAGTGTAAAAAAATTACACATCGATCAGAATGACAGAATAATACAGGTATTTTTAAAGAGTGCGTTTTTTTTTTCTTAAAACCTAAACTCCCTTTTAAGATCAAAACTACGTAATTAAGGTGTTGTTATCTGGTGTTCAAGGATCCACAATTTTAGACATCAGTCAATAAAAAACAAACTCAGAGCAATCTGGTAAAATAAATTGCTCCAAGAGCGCAAAAAAAATCACTAACAGTCAGACCTTCTTCATTGTGACTGCTAGAACACCGAGAGGTTTATTTAGTAAGTGACGCCGTAATTTTTTTTAAATTTTATTTTTACTAAACAACTGAAGTGGTGAATTAAAAATATAATTACAAAATGTATGCCAACATAGCTGATTTGAATAAAGTACTTTTACTGTTTTATTCTCAATACCTTAAGTAGAGAAATGTAGAAAATCTGTATCCTGATTCATGGCAGTGAATGATAGTACTGACTGATATTGAATTTATTTTCATTGTGTGTCAGTGAGTACATATTTAAAGAGCAAATATCATACACTAGGCAACTGGAAATTACCTAAAAGGATGCTGAATATGAATTATCATTATAATTAAAATGAATATATGACGAAGGAAAATGATTATTATCAAGTGATATAGAGAAATATAGCAGAGCAAGTGGGGAAACGGGATCAAACAAATCAGATCAATGCTTTATACTTCTCAACAACTAGAATCATTCATACACACGTCACGGCTAGAGGGATAATTAAATATATACCCACACCCTATATGAGACCTTATTCTGTCTTCCTGTACACCTCCAACATGTCTTCAAGTCATGTCACCTTCACTGAGACACAGGGGAAATGATTTCATACCATGCAAACGTGCATGGCGAAGTGTGTAATTTGAAAACCATGAAAACATTTGTGAGCAGTAAAGATATTACAGCCCTCTACATGGGTACAAAGCTGGGTGGCTGAAAAGAAGTACTTGACTGATACAATCATTTGAAGTCCATGTCCTCCATATTGCTTATTTAGTATAGGAGCTAAGGATACAGGAATACACATAGAACAACCATCCTCCATCTCACGTTAGCCTTCCACCTTATCCAAGGCTACATTACCAAACTCTGCAGGTGCTAAAGGTCCCAAAATGTAGTGCATTATCCATATTTGCGGTCACCAATGGTCAGTCCAGGACAAGACAATGGTAGCAATGGCAAAGAAGTACGGGAAAATGCTGTTTCTCCTTGATGTTTTTTCATAAACTTAAAAAAAAAAAATGTATTAAAAATAAATAAATTTGAAAACGTACAACAAAGCACAATAACAAAAACCAACTACAACCAAGAGAAGATGGCGTTGTGAACTCATATTGTCAGTATACAACTGCAGATGATGAGCACACAATGGAGCACAAACACACAGCAACCACTGAACACAATCCAACACGTGATAAACAACTGTAGCATGCAAAGCTTTAGACAAGGCACAAATAGGTCTTTGCTAATATTAGGAGTATATTAGGGGTAATGATAACAGTAACTCTCCAGGCCTTTTCGACATAGTCCAGTCAACATATCTGTCTGCAGAACATAATTGACAACCAAAAAGTATGGGCAAAATATTTGGGAGAGTGTCATGTTCTGCAGCCACATATCCAACATTATATGTGAAGAATAGGACCCATATGTTTTTATTGTGACTTTATTGTTGCCATCTAATACCCAATATTAGTAATGTCCCGAACGGTTCGCCAAACGGTTCGCCACGGACGGCGAACATATGCGCTGTTCGGTCCGCCCCCTATTCGTCATCATTGAGTAAACTTTGACCCTGTACCTCACAGTCAGCAGACACATTCCAGCCAATCAGCATATGTTCGCCGTCCACGGCGAACCGTTCGGGACATCACTACCCATTATCTAAATGTGTCCAACGTTAAAGAGGAGATCATTCTAAACTAGCAATTATTAAAATGTACTATAATGAAACTACTCTGTGCAATGCTTTTGAAAAAGGATACTTACTTATCTAATGCAGAGCAGATTTGAAAAATAGATTTCTTTTTTAAACTAGTTGCTCAAAGCTGTTAGCAACAAAATGCAGCATTGATATGGAGCCACTGTTCTAACTATGGTAACAAATTGCTCAGACAGTGCTTCCTCGAAATGCTGTTTCTGCTAAGGAATAGAGTCTATTAATATCTATAATTTGGAGGAGAGGTCAAGGAGGAGGAAATAATTAAGCATTCAACAGAGTTCAAGGGGAGCAAGTCATATTTAAAAAAAATTAAACTACAATAGTGTTTATACTCAGTGACTAGAAAAAGCAAATCTCCATATTATCTCTTTCTCTTACTCTGTGTATGTGTATGTGTATATTTGTGTGTGTATATATAAATATAAAGATATATATATGTAAAAAACAGATGCAATTTGTATCTTGTTATACCTTTTTTATAGGATTAACAGAATTTTTTAATGAAAAGCTTTCGGGAGAACCTCCCTTTCTCAAGTCTGATGCATTTCTGAGCAAGACGGCACGTAGAATTCAAAGTTGAGTTGTGATACAGGGGTTAAAGCGACATGAGTGCAGATAAGACACAGGTTTAATAGAGAAAAGACACCATTCTCACAGAGGGTCGTAAATATCTTTCTGAAGATCAGAGTGATGGGGAGATGGAGAAAAAAACAAACAAACAAAAAAAACAAACAGTGCAGAAGATGGTACACTTGATACATACACATATACACACACACACACAAATAAAATAAAAATAACAATATACATACACATAAACACATATACTTACATGCACATGAACTCATATACACAAATATAAATGCATATATATATATATATATATACATATAAATATATATATATATATATATTTATATACACATACATTAAGCAGTAGGATCTCTCAATTGAATGGGGACTTTGTTGAAATGGTGGCTTTTGTGTCTGAGTACTAATATATTGGGTCACTTTTTCACACAATGTGATCAGGAACTGCTGTAAACAGGAAGTGCACATGGAATTATTCCCCCAAATGGCTGCTTCGTAGCTTAATAGCTGGGGGAGGGGAGGGGGGAGATGGCAGAGAACTTATGTCGTCAGTATTATGTTGTTTATTTGCTAATCAATAAATGTATAACTGAATTGCAAAGTTTAGGCAACCGAGTAAGGAAAAGAACAATCTCCATTTCAAATTAGTTGGACATGTTTTCTCTCCCTCTTTTTTTTTGTGTCAATCATTATTTTATTGAATTTTCATGTGGTTCAATACAGAAAGGAAGAGAGTATTAAGGCATTAAACAGCGTTCAACTGAGCTAGTAACATAACGTACAGGCGAACAGATACAATGTGTTTGTGTCTTAATGTAGGAACACATCTGTTTAAACCGGTGTGTTATGCATGCAACCACAGTGGGGTGGTCGCCTTATACTAAGTCTAGGGAGAGGTCGTAAATTCCCTTTACTCCAGATAGAAATGTAGTTTATGTGGGTAGCTGGGAAGGGGAGGGTGCACGATCAGTCAGCGACCCAGATTTCCAACTGGTGAGCCTGTTAGGGCAAGGTGCCTTGTATAAGGATCGGCAATTGTACCGGTAAGGAGCTGTCGTAGGGGACTAGTAACTTACTGTTGATCAGTGCGGACCGAGCCGGACAGGTGAAATGCGTCATGGTGATGCGGTCGTGCATTGTCAGGAAATGATTGCTGGTCACAGATGACTGGCGTTAACTCTCTTTGTGTTTTTAAGGTGTGTTTGTAGTTGCTTTATGGTCAACCTAGTGTAATGGGGTTCACTTTGCAAAGATGACCTAGAGCTGATTCTTCATGGGGATATGATGTGAGGTTTCTGGCAGACATGTCCCTGATGAGCATAGGAGCATGCATGTGCAGTGTTGTTATTTACCCTAGTCCGGGCGCTGTCTTCACCTCTGGACTGTCCAGTGGGTGTATGCGAGTTCAGGGATTGTGTCAATAAGGCTTGTAACAGGGGGATTATCCTGGTACTGGGTGATATGGCGAAGATGGGGGAGGGGAGAAGGGGGTGAGGGGGAAGAGAAAGAGGGGGAACGGGTTGAGAGGCAGCTTGGCGTGGGAGGCTCCAGGTGGGTCGGCCCGCCATGGCCCGAGTGCCCGAGTCCCTTTGTGTATCCATCGAAGCCCTCTCTCTTTTTTAACATATAGTTTAATGAACACACTCAAACATCTCCTAAATATAACATTTTTATTTTAAAGTATTTTAAAGTGTTCATGTCTCTAAGTAAGTCAAGTCTTTACACAATATATTAGATTAGGATTATTGACGGTAGATACAAAACAGCTCTACAAATGTCCTTATCCTTAAGTACAGTTTCATTCCCTGTTCAACTTGTTGCTCAGGACAGCACAAGGTTTTGTGCTTAAAATAAAACATGAAAACAGGCATGCATTTAATTATACATTTTTTTTCTTTGGGGATATCTCTAGAAACAGCTTGCAAAAGATGCAGATCTCTTGTAAGCCGTCCCCTTCTAACCCCGTCCAGACATTCTGTGGCTGTCCAATCACAGACTTCCCAATGCAATTTAATAATAATTCTTTGCCTGCCTATTGAGTTTAGCTCCACTGAGATAAACAACCAGGAAGTAACAGGACCTGTTGTCTGATTGACTGACAGTCATGGGATTATAAATGTAATAATTTCCATTGAAATCTGTGGGGTTTTTTAACTAAATTTCAAATTTAAGACTGGGAAAATTATCCAAGTCAGCTAAGCTTCCAGTCAGTTATTTCAGTCTAAATTAAGAAATTCACTTTGAATTCACTTTTTGTTTCAACACTTTTCACTTCAATAAATAACCATGTTAGATTTTCTAATTAATCTTTTGCAGAAATCTGAGAAAATAAAGATTAGGGAGTGCATGGTATTGATTGTTGCACAGTAGTCCCAATAGATAGGTAAATTGCAATCTCATATTTGATCATTATTGGGCCAGTAAAGGCTAGTGGTGAGCCATAAATGAAGCTGAAGAAATCATAATCCACCATTTCGATACTTGGCAACACTCCTTTTACCATTTTCAGATAAGTAAAAATGGCCCTATACCTCATGTATACTTCATATTAAGCAATCAAGTTTTTGTGATGATAATGTTGGGGAAAAGCAATTATCTACTCTTCGAATCTTTAATTAAAAACATAACAAATGCAACTTCTTAAAGACTTGAAAATGGTTTTCTAACAAAATACCAACACCCTAAAATGCTGTCAATTGTTTGTATTGTTCGTTGTGCTCGCTTGGCTTGATGACATCTAAAAACATTAACTAACGATTACTAGTTAAAGGATAAATAAGCTCTGTAACTGCAATATAACAAAATTAAAAAATCTATAATAATATAACATATGAAACATAAGACTTGAATTAATATTTTTGGATAAAATGTTCAAATGATTTATCTACAGAAGTCACCATTTTTTAAGACTGTTGGAGTTTTTGTCGATAATTCATTTGAAAAGTTTATCTAAAAATATAAAATTGAGACCAAAATCAGTTAATGGCACACCTGTCTCCTACCAGCATCATCAACAAACGTGGCTCTGTGAAACCTTCAACCTACGATTTTATTTAAAATTAATCTTGTGATCCAAGTTGACGTTGACAGATTAATTACAAAATCTTGGTTTAGATGTGATTTTAAAATTATAACATTTTCTAACTTCTGCAGTGTTATAGGCAGAAAAAAAGGTTTGTGAGTTTTAGATTTTGGTCACTATGATAATCATTCGACATTGGCAAAAGTCCAGAAACTTTATTCTGTTCAGTATGACTATGATCGAGGGTATAAAGACCTCTTTTACCCATCCCATAATGATAAAAGTGTTATTGAATCGAGATCGCTTTGACATTTTTAACAGCTTACCATTAACCATTAACATATTGATAAATGTCAGATATGAAATTGTGATTTCTCTGCAAATAAAATTTTTATATATTAGTAAATCCCCCCCTTTTTAAAAGTTGTATTTTTTTTGCTTTTTAATAAGTATTTATTTACTATTTAAAAAAAAAAAAATTTGTTCCTTGTCTCTCCGTACCACCAGGAAAAATGTATGAAAAGATATCAGTTCGCAAATAATACTTTGGCATTCATGGGAATAATTGCAAAGTTGAATTGAAGAAAAATTAAATGCCCAGAGAACTTCAAGGCAAAATGCAAGACGAAAATCAATTTTCCCAGCCACTGAGATTTATATAGCTTTCTTTGTTATTTTGAATCAATAGTTCTGTCCCCATGAATAGCTGAATAATCACATTTTGTGTAGTGTTGGTATACATGTGGACGGAGTCTCTGAACTTTCAGTCACAACACTTTTGATCATTAACAGAATCTGCTCTTATCCCCCATTTCTCTACATCTGTGGATTGTAGTTTCAACCCCAGAGCAGAGCAATTATGCCACGCTGTGTGTCCGGCATGCTTTGCTAAAATAAATTAATTCTTCAAAAACACATTACCATAAAAAAACACATGAAATGTATTGCACAAAAGATTGTGAACATAAAGTAAAACGAACACTTCAATATCTAGGACTGAAATGCTTTTAGTGATGTGGCTTGACACACAGAGAATTATATTGATCTGTTTTACTTATTTAGCTGTAAACTGATACTTTTTAACTTTTTATCAATGTGAACAAGGTTTTTTTTTTTCCTTGCTGAGCTAATATTTAACAAGTATTTTTGTGTGTATATATATATATATATACTAAGTGTTTTGTTTATTATATATATATACTAATACAATTGTTTATACTTCTGTAAATGAGCGTGCAGATATAAATTAAATCCAAATTGCAACATTTAGTCTAACATAGCTAAACTGTGACTTCAGCTGATTAATAATTTAATTTATAATTTTTCCAGATCAGCTATTTTTATGTTAATTTTACCACTGTGATATAAATTTACATGCAATTCGAAGTTTAGTGAATTAACCCAGTGTTGGAAATACAATCCCCCCACCCTATCTTAGTGAATTAACAAATTCTGCAAAAAACCATACCTGACGTATCTGTACATGAAGAGCTGAGAATGAATATCTGCAGTTACTATCAAATCCCTCTTTAACCAAGAAGACACGTCATCAATCAGGATCCTCTCATTCATGTCTACTGTGTCTGATCTTATCCCATAAAACTCTAAGCCAGCAGAGTTTATAGTCATGGAAGGGCTGGCAATGTGGTTGTAGGCTGCAGCTTTAAACCATTCATCTGAAAATGAAACTAGTGAAAGGTGTATTGAGATGCCTGTTTGCATAGGACTGCAGGAATTGTGCATGGCCTTTGCTAATTTGGCATTGTTTGGGTTTGTGCTTGTGATGGTGGCCTATGCCTTGATTGGCTCTCTCTCGGAAGTTTACTGGTGGTCTGCAGTATCTGACGCTGACTATTCTGCCAAACGTCAACGAGCATGTGTGATGTACCTGAAGGTTTTAGTCGTAACATTTCATGGAACTTTAATTTTCAGAAAAAGAATCTGGAAATAAAAAAGCCCTTTTTACACATCCACAACAGTAAAACTACTGAAGTTAATAACTGATTATATAATGACACCTGTCAAGGGGTGGGATATATAAGGCAGCGAGTGAACAGTCAGTTATTGAATTTAATGTGTTGGAAGCAGGGGAAACCGACAAGGGAAAAGATCAGAGTGACTTTGACAAGGACCATATAGTTATGGCTGGATGACTGGGCAGAGCATCTCCAAAATGGCAAGTATTGTGAGCTGTTCCCCATATACAGTAGCTAGGACCTGCCAAAAGTGGTGCAAGGAAGGACAGATCAGGTCAGATTCATGGGCACTCAAGGCTCATTGATGCATGTGGGGAGCGAAGGCTAGCCCATCTGGTCTGATCACAGAAGAGCCACTGTAGCTCAAGTTGCTGAAAAACGTAATGCTGGCCATGATAGAAAGGTGTCAGAACGCACACTGCATTGCAGGTTGGTGCGTATGGGCTGCATAACTGCAGACTGGTCAGAGTGCCCATGTTGACCACTGTCCATCGCTGAATGAGGGATCTCAATTGAGCATCTGTGGGATGTGCTGGAAAGACATACCTGATCCATGGCCCCACCTCGCAACTCGCAAGACTTAAAAATCTGCTGCTAATGTATTGGTGTTAGATATCACAGGGCAAGTTCAAATGTCTTATGAAGTCCATGCCTTAACTTTTCAGCGCTGTTTTCGCAGCCTTAGGGGTACCCACACAATATTAGACAGGTGGGTTTAATGTTGTGGCTGATCGGTGTATATTGCACTTCAATGCAAGAAATAAAATCTACATTTTTGTAATCAATAAAAGGAATATTCACTTAACTGGTATCTGTGGAGAATTGTCAGAATGTGTGGCCATTATATCTGAGATTTGGATATAGCACAGATACACAGCATTTATTTTCCCACAATTTGACTTCATCTAAGAGTTGCAAATTTTGACAGATATTCACAACTGGAGATATAGTGAATGAATCCCTATGCACTGGATTACTTAAATAACAGTGTGCAAGATATACCTCTGTGCTACTTACATTAACAAGGGATTACAGCCCAGCCAGAATAAAAGAGAACTAATTTTAATGATACACTATGCCCTCATTGAGCACTGCCTCCTTGGTCATTATCTGAATTTATCATGATTTGAAAGATCTACACGTACAGAGGAAGAAGTAGTCACACTGGGTATTCCAATTCGGAACCATATGGGAACACGAATGGAGGCCTCACCGTAGCTTCTGAAGTTTAAATACTATAGTGAGATCATTTGAAGCTTCCCATATTGTTTTGTTATGCAATAAAAATAGTGTCGTCAAACATAAAAAATAGAATGTAGGCAGATTTAGTGGATAAACAGCATATTTATAGTGTTACAATACAAAAAAAATATTTACCATTAGTGGTGTAATGGGCAAAATCAAATGGGGTGGTGACGTTCCCAAAATGTCTCCTATTGTGAGAGTGGAAGATGATGTTCATATCGGTAATCACCTGCAATCTGGAAAAAAACGTTGCTGAATTTAAGTAGTTATAGAACTCCATTGCACCACAAAGACGATTCCTGCGGTTCCATCAGCACGTCTCATTAGAGTTTCTGAGACACATTCTCCTTTGTGTTTGTTAACGATGCATGTTTAGGGAATAGTATGATCATTTATTTGTTTGACTTAGAAAAGGTTCTATAGCATTTGTTACAAACATTCGGTTGATTTAGTAGCTGTAGTATGTACCAACATGGATCATTAAATGTGTAAAGTAAGGAAAACTCTGTAGGCTTGAAAATCACTCCTACTGTTTCCTTTATTACATGTCCTGTGTGGGGAAGGGTAATAATGAGTGTGTTGGGTTGTAGAAATGCAGCACAGTCCGAAAAAATTGTAATGCACAAATATCAAATCAGTCTTACCATGTACTAAAAGATATAACTTTAGCATTAAAAGCATTAAAGAACTTGTCATGATTATCCACGTATGATAAAACTCCTCACTTATGTCAATACAAAATTGGCTGCTGCTGTACTGTTAAAGTGACTCAGACACCCCTTTATCTAAAATAAGTATTTTATAAAAATATAATCTTTATGAAATACTCAGATTGACTGAAGAGGACCGGATTGAATACGGCAGCGCCCACGAGGGGTATGTTTAGGTAAGTAAATCTCACCTTTTTGTGCCCCCCGTGGCCACCGGACGCCCAGCGTTATTGTCACCATTGGGAGTTTTTGTAAATTATGCCCAGACAGTAACAAAGCATGGATTGTGATCCAAAAGGACCAATACTTTGATTGAAAAGATTAGGTTTAAAATGATGCTCCTTTGCTAATGGTGATTCAAGAAATGGAAAATGAAGTATGAAAATTGATACATTTCTGATTTGACTTGTCAGGTTGGGATTTCTGAGAGGATTTTCGAATTCTAAATATATTACTGAGCTAGCCATTGGCTAGTGAAAATAAAACCCTGGCAAGTAGATATTCACCCCTGGTGACCATACTATGGCTTGCAGTGGCAAGTAACTTTTAAGGCCTGGTTAGTAGGGCTTCAAATTTTAAGCCCTACATATAACTTTAGCCTCTCACACTCCTGCTGTCTAAATCTTTAGCTTGTATTCCTTTTGTACCATTATACTAGGCATCACATTCATTTATTAACGAAAGGTCACAACTGTTTATGGAAACTGCTACCATTTTAGTTCTTATGAGAAATATCTCTGAAGGTTGGTTACCCGTGAATGCAGTCTTAATGGAGCAATTTTTCTGAAGCTAATGGCATTTTGTCACTATGACTCTTGACTAGTAAAGCTTTATATTAATAGTCAGAATATGGCTGTTGAGTGAAAACTCAACAATTAGAGTATGTTTTTAAACATTGATTACTACATTGTCTAGATAAGAAACCGATGCCATAAAATCGTGTTTCTGGGGGGGAAAAAACAAACAAGTAGAGATGGAAACACAATCACAAAGATGTATTTCATCATATTCATTTGGGATGTAGTGGCACGGATCCAAAGCCATTTTGGTATAAAACCACAAATATACTCTATTTCTTTGTGTCTTGTGGTCAGTAATATGCAAACACAGTCACACTTGCACTGCATGGCACATTCAGACTTCTATTTCTATATTTGATTGTATATGAAATCCTTTTGTCTGTCCTGCACTTTAGGGTATACTATAAAATTTGTGCTACAGTGCACGTAATACAATAATGAAAGGAGCTATGTGAAGGCTGGATTGGGAAATCTAAGCTGGATATGTTAGCAGCCATGAAACCTTTTTAATTTCAGAGGCATATAGCATAGCACCCATGTATGCCTATAAGTTACATATTTTTTATAATGCAGGAATATGCATTCCCAAACAAAGGCTGAAATTTTGAGAATTTGTTTTGAGAATTTGCACAGATTTTATGCATTATACATACAGTGTATTCCAAAAGTAATTTAGTTATATATGTATTTTTTAACTCTGATATAAGATTTGGAGTATAAGTGAAATGATAAGTGATAAGGTTAGTGATAAGGTTAGTGATAAGGAGGCATTAATAAACTTTACCTCCCAATATGTCCGCAACAGATTAAGGAATTTAAAAACTACTTTTTTTATTTCTTTTTATGCACTTCAGTTTAATCTTTGATTGGTGCTTACTTGCAATGTATACACAATGTGTTTTATTTGTTTCATGCACTATGTACATGGTCAGTATACTTTTTTATTTGTATTTTATTGGAGTTTTCAATTCCAAAAACATCTGCGTCAAGGTATAAGGTTACAAGAATAGGTATATAACATATACAACATATATATCAATGTATAGGTAGGTAGTGACATGTGCATATCAGTGTGCAATGTGGGCTATGCATGGTAGCCTCTAGGACTTTGCCCAGTAGCGTGCATATAAGAGTAGAGATAACCATTAACTCTGTAGTACATGTGCACTAAGGAATACAAATTGGAGCATGTGTGAACTAAATGCTTAAGAACTAAAAAGGAGAACTGCTACCGTTTGTCATAGCTTGTTATGTGTGGTCTCTTCAAGAGACGGTCTCGTTCGGTGTGGTGTGTGATGTCCCTAGTACTAGTGTATAACGTAAAACAATTAAATTAAAGGTATTAAGTAAATTAAAGGTAAATAATCATTCTTTGGTTGGGGGCTAAGATGTGGTAAATATCGGTGAATGACTGCGTTTGCCGTCAACTTTATTATGATGTGTCTCAGGTCAGGGCTCCCAGTACACTGAGTCCAGTCGCTTGGGCAGTGGTTAGATGCAGTCTCTGCAAAAAGGTGTTAGCGTCCTTTTTTGAAGTTAGGTTGAGTGCTGTATCTCCTTGTGTCTCGATCAGGGAACTATCCGTTCCCCAGCAGTATTTGTTTGCGGCATTCCGCAGTTGTGTGCCTATCGGGGCTAGTTGCCTTCGTTCCATTAGTGTGGTAAACAGGTGATCTGCATAGATAGCCACAGTGTTGCCTTCGAAGCGTATATTGCCAAGCTCCCTGGATTGGCTCATGATGGCAGTGCAAGTTGCGATGTCTGTTGTTACTGCTATAGTGTCTCTGGGTGTTCCTTGCGAGGCGGCCGCTGCCTTGCGGACTCTAAAAGCAGACGTTAACATCCTTTTATTCCCACAGATGCCAGTAGCCTCTGTGTCCCCTCCGATCTGCTCTGGAATACCTCTCAGGTGTATGTTGCGTCTCCTGTGTCTGTTTTCTAATGTTGTGACATATGTGGTGAGTGTCTGAACCTGTTGGGTCAGACTGTCCACCTGGTTCTGGGTGTTTTTCATCTTGGTCCCTCGGTCTTTCTCTTTAGCCTCCACTGTGTCAATTCTCTGTCTGAGAACTTCCATCTCAGTTTGTGCTTCCTGGAGGTTGGCTTCCATACCTGCCTTACCTCTATTAGGAGACTTTTGATGTCCCCTTTAGTTGCCAGGGAAGAGTCATTGTCTGAGTCCGACTCTTGCTCCACAACTGCTGCAGGGGGTGAGGTAAGTTCCTCACTATCATGACAAGACTCCTCTGATGCTTCCATCTCCGCCCGTGCTGCCGGCGCCATTTTGGCTGTGCTAGCCGAAACTGGCCACTCAATAGAAAACATTATATCAGGCAATTTCGGGGTCTCTGGGTACAGGAATCTCCTGTGCTTTCTCCAAATGTTGTCAGCTGGTGGGGATTAATGAAGAGGAAGTGTCAGCAGAGCTTTTGCGTCTTGTATAAGGTAGTAATGCTGAGATCAGGTCGGAGTTTTCTTGGGACTCGCCCGTGTTGTTGCTCAGTCAGCCACACCCCAAGGCCCATATTTTTTATGAATTGTACACATTACTTACAGGATTTTGGCTTACCTCTTCATTCCACCACTTGTCTTCACCTGGTCAAGAAAAGTGAGAGTGTAAATACCCCAACACACCGTTATTGAATAGCCTCTACAGCTCAAAATACATTTTAGCAGCTCGATAGGCTTCAATCCCAGTACATTCTAGGGCTGCTCAAGTAAAAATGCTGGAAAGTTCCTTCCAAATAAAATTTTGATCATTTTCATAATTGCCACACATGTTGTATTCAAACAAAATGCATTCCTGCTTCTATGTTGAAATGGCTTTGTCTCCTTCAAGGATCTTTGCATAATTAGCAAAGTCCTCCAGAGGTGACATCTCCACTTGGAGTGTGAAGGTGCAAGGGTGGAACGGTATTCTGTCAGTACGAGACTAGGGTCTAGGAACGATACAGCAAGACCACCGGATTCCTCTATAGACCAACTCTTATAACCCTTGAGAAGATATCCTATTTCCACTGCAATCACTAGTTTGAATTGCTGAAACGTGGCAGTGGAAGAACCGCCTCTTGTAGAGTTTTATCAACCTGAACCTTGACCATAAGACAAAGTAGTCAGTTCTTTGTCTTATAATATCTTTTCACAGTGTTGACATTTTAATGAAATTCCAACACAATTTAACAAAGTTTCTAACTTGAAAATACTCAGAAGCAATATGACAGGGCTGTTTTATTAATTTAGACAGTGGAATAAATGCTATATAATGCAGCAACAAATAGGAGTCATTTTACATAAATTCTGTGTTTTTAGATGTTTGCATTTCATGTGTAGATGCTGTCTGTAAACAGCCATCTGTATGTTTAATATGTTTTTTTAAGTAAATTATCTAGCTATTCACAACATTTTTTCAAGTTAATTTAATAGTGTTTTTAACTGAAAACCATTTTATTGAAGGATTTAAATATTACTGTTTTAGAATGTCAGGTATTTCAAAATATTGCCTCACCTTGCTGGTTCTAGATGTTTAAGAGTATTGTAACAATGATTCAGAAAAGTTTTAATTAAAAGGATAATGATTGTTATATTGTTATCAATACGATGCGTGCATCTGTAGTAAGATTTTATACCTGAAATTGTAATAATTTTATATCACTCTTGAAGATGAACAAATTAGTGTATTTAGAATTAAGATTTTACCCCAAAGCTTGTGTTATAAACTTACGTAAAGGTGTACAATAATGAGCACAGAGACAAAAATCGGTTTAGAACAGGGGTTCTCAACCCAGTCCTCAAGGACCCCCTACCAGGATTTAGGGATTACCCTGTTGTGTGTAAAGTGCTTGTCCCCACCCCCCCTAAAAACACATTAGACACAGCAGGGTAATCCCTAAATCCTGGGCAGTTCGGGAACCCCTGGTTTAGAACATGTTATAGATATGAAAACAGATTTTTTTTTAAACTTTTATATTAATAATCTGCTTATCACATATATTTATAGCAAATCCTCCCATTTATTTGGGAATGCAAATTTGATATATACCAGCAGAGTATACAAATATCCATGTTTACACTTTAATGCTTAAAAGAGTAAGTAAAGTTACCTGCCTAAAACCAGGCATCTGTGGACTGCTTTTAAGATAGGCATGTATTGTCTTTCTAAAGCAATCGACTTGGCAGGTAGGTACTATGTTTTTTTTTTCCGCATCCAGGGTGATATTGGATCTAATATTGGAGGTGAGATGTTTAGTTTCAGAACTTTTGCAGCAGCATAGCTAATATCAATGTATTTAAATTGTACTCATATTCCAAGTTCTTCAATGCAATTAACAAGAAGTAGAGCTAGTTTTATTACATAACTGAATTAGGTGCTAGATATGTAGCCTAGGAATTACTTGGTTTATCATATTTAGCTGAGGAATCAAAACGCATCAAGACGGCAAAGCTTATTACTCATTTTATAAACTTGATATTGCCTTACTAACATTTCAAAAAAACTTTTTTTTTTTAAATATTTTTATATTTTCTACAATCTTTCAAACTTTCCCCTGAAATATGCCTTGTAAAATACGCTGCATTTCAAAATTTACGACAACCCAAATACCAGATATGATGACAAACGAGGTCTCTCTCTTTAATTGCAATAATATTGATGTTACTTTGAAAACCAAGGTTGTAATTTTCCTATCACTTAGATTGTAGGGTAAATCTTCTTGTAACAGAAAGGGCATTTGGATGAGTTAAAAATGCTTTCAAAATAATAGGTATTTGGAATGGCTAATGAATGGCTAATAAAAGCGAACGCCATTTAGAGATATTTGGGTCATATATGTTTATCAGTGAACTCCGGGCCGTAACATATCATTATGTAACCCTTGTAACACACATAACATCTGTGGCGTAAATCATCATTAGAAACCATTTGCAGGCAACACTTTATGTAATAATTCTTATATAGCAATGGAATAAAACAAGATGATAGATTCTGGTATTATCTTTAAAATATTTTTCCGGTATAAAGCAGCCCTATTATTGACAGATTAAATGAGTAGATATATGTATTCTTAATAGACCCCTATATCATGACATGGGATGTTTTGTACTACTATATATAGCAATACACATGTATACATCCTGCTGTGGTTATATCTTTCATGTTCCTGTTTTTCGGGATCTTAAATCCTTGTGTGACACATAGCTTGCTGATTCTGATCATAATAAAGACTACCTGTTGCTATTGATGTAACAAAGGTTTTTTTTTCTTTTAAAAATAACAAAGAATTTGAATATCCGCAAACTAATGTAAAATCTTGTTTATCAGCTATTTCATCATAAACTACTGTGAATATTATATATGCCGGGCATAGGCAACCATGTGCCAGCATTATGGATGTAAGAGCATTATGGGGGATGTAGTCCACAACATCTGGAGTGCCGAAGGTTGCCTATCCCTGATATATGCTGATCATCAGAAACAAGGGATCAAGAACGGGACGAGATGTAGTTGAGTTTAGCATAAGTCTGGCCATGGAATGTTGGATGTTTCTGTGGTGAATGTTGGAGTAATGTCACCGTAGAAGCCTTGGTAGTTGTGCAGTATTCCCTATATCAATGTAGATCTACTGTGCACAGTAGAGCAAACTGAAGACCTCATTTATATTAATGTTTTTGAAAGTTTTGTTGTTCTCTGAAGTACCAGTGAAAACATTTACATAATACTATCAAAGCAAGATGTAAACATTTTAAAATGAGATAGGCCATTGAATATAATTAGCAATATAATTGATCCTTATGGTGTTAATGTTTTAATTGGAATACCTCCGACATGACATTTCACACAGTGAAATCCATCCGCCTATATATTCATGTTAATCATTGCTTAAATGCTGCATATAAGCAACTCTTTTAAATAAAAAATACAGGGAATTAGTCGTACACATGGTCATAAAATACTAAGTCCAATGCTACATATGACATTTTCATGGTTATTCACTACAGCGAGTATTGTCGGGAATTCAAAGTGAATTCACAGTGGATTTGCAATGATTCACAGTGGCCCAAAAAAATAATGCATGTACTGCTTCCTTTTCCAGACTCTAGTGACAGGAGTAGGCAACGTTCGGCACTCCAGATGTTGTGAACTATATCTCCCATGATGCTTTGCCATCATTATGTCTGTAAGAGAATTAAGGGAAATGTAGTCCACAAGATCTGGAGTACCGAAGGTTGCCTACCTTGGTCCACTGTAAGTAATGTCAAATAAAATTGTTTTTTTAGGGACTAAAATTTCCGTTTCGATCAGTGTGACCACTGTCTGCCCCCTTTTGATGTAATAAAGTTTTACATACTCCACCTTTGTCTTCGTCAGCAAGCCTGATGACTCTTCCTCGTTCTTCTCCAATGTTTGAAAGAAAAGTCTTCTTCACCATTTGTGTTTACTAGGCAGCCATTTGTCATCCTCATAAAATCAAACATACAAAAGCAGATACTATGAGTGCTACAATAAAATATGCAGATGACAGACAAACTGGGAAGCATAAAAACTATTAATTACTGACTTTTTAGGCTATATATCGAATACATAAAACCAACAATAAATATAAAGTGAAAAATTAAGTTTATAAAATATATAAGCTTCAATTCAAAATCTAGCTTAATTTTTTAACCATTTTAAGGGAATAAATTAGCCCTATAATTTTATGACACTAGTTCTACTTATTACTTTAGCTGTCATTAATGGGTTAATACATATTTTGTCGTACATTATTTAATAATTCTATATACCAAGCCTCATAACAAATTAGTCATCCTTTTAAATCTGTGGTGGTGACTACACATCTGCTGAATCATACATTTTTAACTCCTTCAGAACAAAGGTTAGGTATGTGTTAGTTATGAAAATCAAAAACAATAAAGGGCACAATGGTGCTTATTTTGGTATATAATCTGGTGCAGCTAAAATTACCCAAGTGTAATGTCACCGTTTACACTTAACAATTCTGATAAAATAAAAGAAAGAAAGGTGATTTGCGCACACAGAAATTGACATTGAGGTTGGTGACAGACTTCCGGTTTTGACCATATATAGACGTGGATGTTAATTCCATACATGTGTATTAAATAGTTTAATTATATTGATGTTTTTTCTGGTATATAAGAGAAAATATGCTCATTTGAAAAACGTATGCACTTGAGAAAGACCGGTTTGAAAGGTTGAAACGCGTTGTGCTATTTTATACTATTTTAATTCTGTTCTCAAGAAGACAAACTTTTTGTTTTTAAATAATATGTTAAATTAAATTTTACTAAATATCCACCCTGGACTCTGGAGTTTCCTGCAATTTATCAGCACCGAGTTCCTGAGGGCGTTATCTCTGTATTTCCATTGTATATCTCATGGATGAGATGAAAAGCACCATAAGTATCGAGCCAACATTTAATAGGCTCTGAAAATTGGGAGCTTGAAAAAATATTTTAACTTTCATACTACCTCACATATACAGTATACACTATGTGTGTTTTCTAATGCATTTAAATATAGGTTTTACAGAACTACCTTGTGACGAACCTTACATATCTTGTGTAAGGTAAACAAGATATATATTTCTGTGTGCGCAAATCACCTTTCTTTTTTTTATGTGTTAGTTATAGTAACAGCCTTGGCCAGGGGCGGTGCTAGGGTAAAAAAACATCCGGGGGTTGAAGCCAAAGATTATTTGGTGGCACCTTGCAAAAGCTCCAACCCAGTCGGTCCCCAGTTCCACCACTTAAAACACTGTTTAGCACATTCACAATTCCTTACAGACACACACATACAGATACACATTAACACACACATGGACATAGAAGGGCAGACAAAGACACATATAAGCACGCACAGACACACACAGTGACATGCACCAACATGCACAGATAGGTACACACAGGCATAGACAGACCAGCACAAACAGACATACATATACTCATTAAAAAAGAATGGCCCTGTAGCTGTAGGGGAAGGCAGGTGGCCGGCCACAAATCTTCTGTAGGGAGCACACTTAGTCAGCATGCCACCAGCCCTGCACTTTGTTGGTCTCCTCAATCTCCTCTGTAGCCACTGCGTCTGCCAGATTACTTTGCACTCTCTGCCCACGTCAGTCTCCTAAATGAGATTCAGCCGTGAGTGAAAGTAGAGCAGTAATATTCCCAGTGTGTGTCTATCATCAGGGCTGTGTTTACCGCGAGGCAAACAAGGCATTTGCCAGCCGCCCCCCAATCACCCTGGCAAATGCCTTGCCAGTCTCTTTTCCTGGGGGGCCCAGGAGCTGGCTGGGTGGCTACCTCAGGGCCCCCCATGCTGGCAGTGGCAGAACTTTCCTGGCAGGCGGCGAGGGAGCACTAATTCTCCTGTTCAGCTCCCTCGCGCACGCCGCCGTGATACTGGAGCCGGCATATGACATCATTCCGGCCCCGGCATCACTTTGCGGCGCGCGAGGGAGCTGAACACGAGGATCAGTGCTCCCTCACCAACTGCAGTGACCAGCTGGCCACCCAACAGCCCCACTGGACCCTAGGGAAAGCGAGAATCCACCCCAGCACTGCCAAAGGTAGGGAGGCTGGGGGGATTAAATTTAAAAAATAATGTGTGTGTCTGTTAGTGAGTGTGTGTTTGTCTGCTAGTGTGTGTCTGTTAGCGAGTGTCTGTGTGTCTGTTAGTGAGTGTCTGTTAGTGTGTGTGACTGTTAGGGAGTGTGTTACTATGTGTGTGTCTGTTAGTTTGTGTGTGTTTGTGTCTGTTAGTGAGTGTGTTAGTGTGTGTGTCTGTTAGTGAGTGTGTATGCATGTCTGTTAGTGAGAGTGTATGCGTGTCTGTCTCTGTTAGTGAGTGTGTTAGTATGTGTGTCTGTTAGTGAGTGTGTATGCATGTCTGTTAGTGAGAGTGTATGCGTGTCTGTTAGTGACTGTGTGTGTCTGCTAGTGACTGTATGTGTCTGTTAGTGAGTGTGTATTCTGTTAGTGCGTGTGTATGTGTGTTGGTCAGTGAGTGTTTATGTGCATTTAAAAGGCGGGATGGGGGGGAGGGGGTGCCTGAGTTTTGTCATGCCTAGGGCAGCACAAAACCCTGCTACTGTTTCACACATGGTTCATTTCCATGTCCCTGTACTTTAAAAACCCAACATTTATTTTCCCTACTGCCAGAGCCGGCACATGGGGTGCAGGATCCAGGTGACAGTCTTGAGGGAAGCACACAGCACAGCTCCTCCAACCTCCCAAAGTCATTTCATGTAGCGTGGCCACACAGACCGCGTTAGTGGATCTTCTGTATATTCTACCCACTCTGAGAGGAAGTGCTCACTAGGAGCAACTAACAGCTTCCGCATAGAGGACACGCACAGGTGGGGAGAGGGGGAAGAGATCACAAAGGGAATGGGGAGAGGGACACACAAAAGCGGCTGGGGGGTGAAAGAGACACACAAAGGAGCTGGGGTGTTAAAGAGACATGAAGAGACTGTTGGGGATAAAGAGATATACAGAGGGGCTGGGGAAGGGTAAAAAGCGACAAACAGATGGGCTGGGGAAAGTGAGAGAGACACACTGAGGGGTTGGGGAAGGGGAGAAAGAGACACACAAAGGGCCCGGGGGGGAGGGGGGGGTTAAGTAACAGAAAAACGCAACAGAAGGTCTGGGCTTTTAGTGCTGGAAGAACACAACCAGGATAGGACAATGCTTAAGGACTCCATGTACCATAACCACTATAATTATATTTTATGGTTAAAATACTAAGCGTGCTCAGTTGAAACACATTTTCTAGATTTCCAGATTCTCTAAAGGATTCATCAAAAATTTCTACTGTGCACCTGTTTAGTAAAGAGATCCTAATAACACAGAGCTATTATTTAAACATGTCCTGTTAAATAAATTAATTGACATGGCTAGAAGTTTGTTTTAGTGTAAATAAGGTTATAGATTAAAATGTATTAATATTGTAGAGTAGGTTCTTGTTTTGAAACCAAATGTATACTACTGATTTTTCAATTAAACCACAAATAATAATAATTATACACATTATTCACCGCAACATTTTTGCACAAACTCGACCCTGTGCAGCTAATTATTGGGCGTTACGTCACGGCCGTGAGCCTGCACCTCTCCGCAGATGGAAATAAAAAGTTTAACCAGATGAAACGACAGGTGAAAAATATTTTCAAAAAAGCAATTTCATGGTTCATTCTATCATTAATTCTCTTTTGTAATCTGGGTAGCTGTAGATTTTTTTTGTTTAAGTTTGGGATTATACGAGGTTTACATTTTGCTTCCTGTCAAATAAGACATCTGGGTGAAAAAAATGGAGACTTTTCGCTTGTGTTTTTTTTCCACAAATTGCTGAAAAGATAAGTAAGCTAGTATTACAGGTGAATATTTCTTGGCAATGAGGTACAGGGTTGTCTAATAGGGCCTATCAAACACATTAAGCTGAAAGTCAAAGCCCTGGGCTTTGTGCTCCCTGTTAGCCTACGCCAGAAGACAAGCAGCACATAAGGGTCATTTTCTGCATGAGCTAACCTTTTTCCTCACTTAAAGTTTGAAGCCTTTGTTGACAATGAGATGCTCAGTGGGAACATTAAATTAACACTTCATATTCGTGGCTATAAATTTACTGGCAGGCTGAAGAAAAGTCAAGGAAAACAAACACTTCATCATTTCTGCTTCATTTAGCTTCTGAATGGGTACACTCTCACCTGCAGATAAAAGAGGTCGGGGCAGACATGGATAATTTTAATCCGACTCTCAGGCTTCTGTTTAGTTGTAGTGGATTGAGTTGCATTCTGTGCTCCGTGTAAAGGTGAGACTGAGGTGAGAGCAAGCAAATAGATAAAATGTATTCCAACGGCGTTCCGTCCATCGAGACACATGGAAAGGAAGTATCCTTCTAAAACAGACTATTAAAAATATATATACATATTTTTTATTATTTTTTTTTATTTTGAGCATAAGAAGTTATTTTAATATTAAAAATATATATACTTTTTAATGTTGACCATATGAAGTTATTTAATACTTAATAATATATATACTTTTTAATTTTAACCATATGAAGCTATTTTAATATTAAAAATAAATATACTTTTTTTATTTTGACCATATGAAGTTATTTAATATTTAAAAATATATATACTTTTTAATTCTGACCATATGAAGTTATTTTAATACTTAATAATATATATACTTATTAATTTTGACCATATAAAGCTATTTTAATATTAAAAATAAATATACTTTTTTATTTTGACCATATGAAGTTATTTAATATTTAAAAATATATATACTTTTTAATTTTGACCATATGAAGTTAGTTTAATATTATTTACTATATCCAATTTCTCTAAGACTGTACTTTAACGCCTTAACTTCTGAGCACACTGCACACAAAAATAGTGATCTATTTGAAAAAATAGGAAAATAAACGTTTCAAGAAAATTAAAAAGAAAAATTCAAAAATTACATATATGTTTATTTTATAGAGTGGATTATTGTGATTGTCATCAATTTTTCCAAGTCAAGTTTTTTTTTTAGGTTTTCTATTTTCACCTAATATATGAATTTCTCTTTGGATTTCCAAAAACTCAAGCAAACAATCTTCAGAAAGATAACGCATACACAATGCTTGTTATTTTACACACTATTAAAAAAGTTTCAATATTTTTCTCACAGAGACATGGAAGAAATCTACACGTTTTTTGGGAAATTGCACTGTTGTTACAATTTTCTTAATTTTGACTTTATATAGTTTCAGTGCTTGCCTTTTATTGCAGTCAGCATAGGTTTGTTAATACTTGTTTCAGAGCTATCATTTACCATAGGAAAAATTCAAAGTGAGAATTCATAGTGGATTTCAAATTTAAGGCCCTACTGGCCAAATTGAAAGCATAGCTGACTTAGATAATTTTGACCAGCTCAGCTATTTTAGAATTAAATTTACTTTGCATTATCTGTTTAGTAAATAACCTGATTAGTGAGTTACCCCGACTGACTCTTATAGCTTCCTTTGGCGGTGATGGTCATTGTCATGTATAGACACTCTGTATACTTTAGTGGGACTGACCAGTTAAAAAATGTAGTTTCTTCATTGGGTACAATAAATATGAATATTATGTACGATTCATATTTTATACTTTATTATAATGCAATGTAAACAAGGGGTTGGGTAAGAAGGGACTACTTTGCTTATAACTTTCATATATTTAGTTAAATAAATTTAAAGAAATATTTGTAAAAATAGAGTATTTGGCTATCCATTAAAAAGTCTCTATCAATATTATGGTGCTAGTTTGGTTATTATGTCCATGTACAAAATTAGAGGGTATTTAGGGCTAGGGACTAGTCACATTACCTTGGAAACAATCTCCAAGTTGGCTAGGTTTTTATTATTATTGTTATCGCCATTTATATAGTGCCAACAGATTCTGTAACGCTTTACAATATTAAAAGCGGGGGGATTTAACTATAAATAGGACAATGACAAGAAAACTTACAGGAACGGTAGGTTGAAGAGGGTCCTGCTCAAACGAGCTTACATTCTATAGACTGGCTATTTTGGCATACAATTTGGCATACAGTTAGAAATTAACGTTGAATTCCTAACATTTCACACATTAATGAATAACCCTGTAGTTGAATGTATTAATGGGTATAGCTTTCAAGGATGGAACCAAACCTGTTAAAAAAAATAAATATATATTTAAAGCAAAACATTATATATATTTTATATATAAGAATGGCTGGATGTGACTCTAAAACAAATGGGTTTCAGAGTTTCGAGGCAGAAGTAACCCTTGCGAAAAAGTTGTTTCACGTTAAGCTCCACTGTCAAGGCCAGTGAATTCAGTCTGGCAAGTTCCCATGTGTGCATAATATTCAATTAAAAAGATAACATTAAATATTTACTGGAGTAAATAGATGTGCCCTACAGACTATTTTCAGGGGATAGTAATAATATAATAATAACATGTACCGTGGTGTGCACTGCAATCTTAAAATGCATTTATTTCAAACTTTTCAGTAGATTGGCTAACACAATACACAAACCTAATACTCTTTTTTTTTTTTTTTTGCATGAATATATACTAGTAAGTACAGATGCTGTAAATTCATAATAATATTTATTTTTTATTTTTTTTTGGTCACTTATGTTATTAATGTTTTTTTATGTTGGACCCGGACTTTTATTAAACTCGAGTTATTTCTCCATAATACTGACAGTTTGATTTGCATATTATTGATACACATATCTCTGTACGTGGAAAGATTCATATGTTTTAGTTAACATTATTAATAAATATTTCACTTTTTTTTTTTTTTACCATTTTAACATGTAGAACATTATGTTCATTTCCAAGTATGTATCTAAAAAAAAAAATATATATATAAAATGTTCTTACATTTTTCTTCATCTATTGGGGCTCCATAATATGTAAATTGAGTCCCATTATGCCAAAATATCACTAGTGTCCACTGAAGTACGCTGCACAAATAGTAAAAGAACGTATTGCTGGTAAATAAAATATGGAATCACACTTCAGTTGGTTGCCAAGGAGACCAAAGAGCCCAAGATAATTAATTCTAATGGCAGGTAGAAGAAAAAATATATAAATTTTAATAAGGACTTTTGCAGACCTGCTACAAAAAAAGGAAAAAGGTGAATTTTGTCTTTTTATAAAGCAGATAATGATGACAGATGTCCCAGCTTGTTTTGTTAGATACATCCTCTCTTCTTCTCAACTGATGATCTAGCAAACGAGATCCAAACACTAATTATGTATATTGGCTGGTTCACCATTCAGCACTCATTGTGCAGAGGAGGAGGTGGTGAACAAATGCAAAATGCCTCCCAATTGTAAAGTAAATGAACAGGGGAGGAGACCAATCACAGGGACTGAATTCCAACAGCAAAATCTTTGTTTTGTGTATATTCATTTGGACTGATAAAGTTATAGTATGTGTCATTTAATGGATGCTCCAAAGTAGATTAATATGTTTGTTTGTTTTCAGTATTTTTTTAAATTTTTTTTTACCAAAACATCTCTCGTCTTTTGAGCTCTATAAGGGTAGGACTGGAACAGAAATTAGACTGGGTTTGCAAAGATCATTAAAGGGACACTATTGTCACTAAAACAACTTTAGTTTCATGAAGCAGTTATTGCGTATGTATCTTGTATCACTGCTCAATTCTCTGCCATTTAGGAGTTAAATCACTTTTGTTTCTGTCCATACACCTCCCCTTGTTGTGATAGATACAGCCTGCATTAAAAAAAATAGCAGGTGTTAACTTACTTTAGACATTTTATTCTCCTGCTCTAAATATTGAACTTTAATCACACTCAGGAGGCTCCTGTAATGTCTAAAAAGTTTTTAATAGTGCAGGAGAAAATAATTTCTAAATTAAACACACTGTGCAATAAAAGAAATATAAACATTAGAGATTTACAGGAAGTGTTTAGGAAGGTTGTGCACATTACATGCAGGGAGGTATAACTAGGGCTGCATAAACAAAGTGATTTAAAATGACACTATAGTCACCAGAACAACTTCAGCCTAATGTGGTTGATTTGGTGAATATAGTCAGTCCTTCCAGGCTTTTTGCATTGTAGCATAGGGACACCTCCAGTAGCCACTCCTCAGATGGCTACTAGAGGTGCTTCCTGGGGAAGAACTGGCATCTCCATGCTCTTCGTGGAGGCACTGAACTTTCTCCATAGAGATGCATTGAGTCAATGAGAAGAGGCTGATTGGCCAAGGTGGTGTGTGCATCCAACCCGCCTCCTTGGCAATCTCAGCCAACCACAATGCTTTTTTATAGGAAAGCATTGTGATTGGCTGAGATAATAAATTCTGATTATGTCAGCCAAGGAGGTGGATCAGTGGCAGAGCCAAATGCTGGTGCTGGAAATAAGGTGAGTTTCCACCCTATTTAGGAGGGTGTGGGAGAGGGGGACAGGAGGCTAAATAGTGTTTTTATACTATCAGGTCAGGAATACATGTTTGTGTTCCTTTAACTCCTAAATGACAGAGAATTGAGCTGTGAGACTGCAGAGGCATGATTTATACAACAACATTGCTTCATTAAGTTAAAGTTGTTTTGGTCACAAATCATTATGTGACACACAAAGTGTATTGAAGTTGTTATTGTGTCCCCTTTAAAACAAATTGTGTGTCACATAATTACTTAGCTTATAATATAAGGGTGCAAGTTTTTCTTTCTGATTTGGACAATTTCAAACCAGATAGCACTGTTAGAATAAGTTTCTCAGAGTCAAGCTAGTAATAATTTTTCTAACTGCTATGTTTATTCAAGTTTACAAGGTGATAAATTATAAGCAACTTAATTTTTATTAAATACATTTTTAATTTACTTTTTGTAAAAAAAATACTTTCAAATTAGTTTTTAAGTAATTTTATTGGTCAATCTTTATTTACGATTTTTTGATGAATTCACAAACAAAGAAGTATTCTATTTTAAACATTCAAAAATGCAATCCTTATATTAACAAAGTATTCAAACTTAAGACCCCCCCTTTTTTTTTTTATAAACTGGCATCCATACAGGTGCATTAAGTACCCTATTTCAAAATATAACAAATCAACTAAACAAAATAAAATATAAACCCACCAACAAATTTACTACTAATGAGCATATTGTGAAATAAATCTGATATACAACTGTTGGTCAACTTGTCATATGCAAATCCCTAGCCACTATGTCCTGTATTTGCATAGATACAATTCTATCAGCCTAAAAAAATGAAAGCGAAAAAGCAGGCTATTGCTTATGCAAATCTGTCCTTTCTAAATCTTTAGCCATGTTCGGCATTAAAATTGATCCCACTGATTTGTTTCAACAAAACATTGTACGGTTGTACTGCAATGGAAGTAAAAAAAAAAAAAAAATACACTTAGATTTTAGTAGCGTAGACAACATTATTCAAGATATTTTATATAAACAATAAAAAGAAAATAATAAAAAAAGTACATTCTTCGAATCTTCTAGATAATTCAGAGATTTATCATTTTCTGAACTTTATTATCCTCGTAGGATTTTTGTTGTATTTTAGTGCATATTCCAGTATGTCTAAATGGTTAGAGGAAAATGTAAACCAAGCTGAAGAAATGTTCAAAAGTCTCACTTACACTAGTATAGTTTAGGCTGATGTGATTAGTGCTTTTTCTATACGATCTAAAATAAATCAGATAATTAAAGATACTTCAATATCTTTTGTCCTTCCATACTTGAACGTACAGCAAAGCAGATGTTTACTTAAATGAATACTCCAAACACCTAAAGCACTTTAGCTTGCTGAAGTGCTTTAGGTGTAAAGAGTGTGTCCTCTTCTTTCATGTTTCAAAAAGTGACTTCCATAGAAATTGGCACATTTATAAATTAACTTTGTTGCACCACATGGCTGTCAATCATACAACTGGTCTTGTTGCTTCCTGGTTTGGTTAGCTCAGTGGAGCTAAACTCAAAAGGCAGACAATTGCTCAGAGCACCTGAAATGCAAAGACTTATCAATGAGTTGCATTGGGAAGTCTGTGATTGGACAGCCTCATAAAGTCTGGGCGGGGCTAGAAGTGGAGGATCTGCAAACTGTTTTTAGATATAATCCCAATAAAAAAAAAAGTATAATTAAATGCATGCATGTATTCATGGGGGTCTACTAAATACTGATTTAGACATTGGGACGATGGAGTGTCCCTTTTGTGGCAACTCTTACTTTTCATAAATAAGCAGTCAAACTGCTTTCTGAAATACAATAGTTTAGTTAAATTTACAACTGCCATGTAAATTGGTTAAACAAGGTGACAGCTGGTGGATTGATACTTCTAGACGGCGATTGTTCTACCCAGTGTCTACAAAAGACAGGCATAGAAAAAACACTGAAACAAAGTAGTCCCTACTTTGTCTCAGTATATTATTTGGCTGGGTTGGAATTTCAGTGAAACATGAGTATTTCATAGAGAATTTATATTAATGAAATACTAATTGTTCATGGGGGAGGACAGCACTGCTTTAATAACAGTTTATGTTGCTTATTTTAATCGTAATTTGTAACGTAATGTGTAAACTTGTTTTAGAACATTTTCATTTTTTTAAAATATGGCTAAGCAGCCGTGTTGTGTTAGATCCTACTGTTATTTGGCCAAATGCTGCTCACCCTAACTTGCTTGTTGCTGCAGGTTCACACAGTTGTCAGTTGAAAGTGAGCATAGAACCACATGTATTGGCATTACCAGTGTATTTATTATATAATATGTAAAATAATGTAATAAAATATAAATTATAATAAAAAAAAAAGAAAATATAATACATAATGTAATAAAGGACGCAAATGGCATTCATATATACTTCCCCTTTAAAACCAAGATAACACCAAAACAACCTTCCTATGAAGCCGATCATTACAAGGAAAATGTGCGGTGCAGCCACTTGCTTGCTTTTGATCTTGAAACTTAACACAAGTTATAGTAAATACACTATTTCGATCTGTGTGTTAAAAGCTATAGCCCATTGGTTTAAACATCTATAACAATGTTTACTAAACATATAACTTTATTTAGAACTTATAGTTAAAGAAACAGTGTGCAACATGAATATGCAAATATATACTTTCATTATTTTTAATTAATATGTGAGGTACACTATGATTCTAAAGAATTAATATAGAGAGTCAGGCCAGGCCTCATAGTAACTCTAGACTTTCTGATAGGTTTTCATGCATTCTTCATACATGACGTAAATTAAATGTCTCTTTAGGATCAGTCTTAAACCCAATTACATTAACCCCTTAAGGACACATGACATGTGTGACATGTCATGATTCCCTTTTTTCCCAAGTTTGGTTCTTAAGGGGTTAATAAGGTACTGGCTCCTTTCTAGTTCTGTAGCACTAGCTAATTAACATTATTATTAAAGAACTGGGGTTAAACAAATCTTGATATTTTGTTTTATTGATCATTAAGGAAAAAATATCTTACACTTGAAGGAGAACCATAAGAAATTGTTGATTTTCACCTAGCACTTAAATGCATGTGAATTGCCCCCAAAATTTGCCCAATCTTAAATAGTTTTTGGTTTTTTTTTGGTTTCAAGCAAGAGCTCCTTTGATTTGCAAATGCTGAACATGTATTCGCTTCAAATTGAAACCAATAATATTGTAAAGATTAGGAGCGCATGAGTTATTGGAAGAGACTTTTAGGATTGACAATAATTGCCGCTTTTCATGTTTCATTTCTGCCTGACCCTTAAACGAGAAGCTAATTTATTAGGAAACCGTCAGCACCTGACCGTCCACAACCACTCTGTGAATTTATTGATTGCACTACAACTGATATCACTGCAAAGCCATTTTAACAAATAATCTTTTGTCCCTTAATATATTTATAAAAATGTACAAATTGGTGGATTAATAATACCTAATTTGAACTAAATAAAAAATGAAAAAATAAACAAACTGTTGGTGCCTAATTGCATTACCCCATAGCAAGAAATATAAGGCTGTATATTTTTGCTTCGTACATGCGCAAATCTAATGTTCTGAAATAGACAAGCACTGGCAAGTAAACAGAAACTGTCATCAGTTTCTATTCATTTTGTTATTCATTTAAAAATAACATTTAAAAAAAATTAAATAAAACTGTAAACGCCTTTTTTAATGTGTTTTGTAAATAATGTCTTCACGTATTCCCTTTAAAACCATGATTTTTGATTATTTTACTTTGATATTAAATTATATCTTTTCAGAAATTTTTTTTATTTTGCACTATGTATTTTCAAATAAAATAAGGCAAAGAAAGGAAAAAAACATCCACAAAGAAAAAAGTGTGCAACCCCCCGTCCCCACCTCCCCCATTCTCCCATTTCTAGATTTTTAGTAAGACACATCATTGCTCTACACTGCTAGCTTACCCCACTTTTTATTTTGACTGTGGGAGAGTTGGACCAATGTTGTGCTCAAATTAGCCTACTAGGTGGTCCTTGAAAGTAGACACAGTGTGACAAGTAAAGTGAAAGGCCAAGACTCTTTGCAGTTCGCTGGCTGTTGTTGAAACTGGCAAAGGGTGCATCCTGGGGGTGGCACTGATGTAGCTATTGATGTCCCAGGGAATTCTGTGTCAGGCATGGTTGACTACAATCAGAGCAGTGATTAGACTTCTTTTGATCGCAGATTTAGTTTTCTGCCTATCAAGGGACAGAGAGAGTTGGGATCCATATTAATGGCTTGCAGTGGGCCCACGTAATTTCCCAGAGGGTCACAAGGTCAGGTTTGTATTTAGTTAGCTGTAATGATCTCGTTAGGGATCTGAATGGGCCACCGTCCAAGCCCTTTCAGGGATGTGAGCGTGCCTGCCCCTCCCTCTTCTTTCCCTACGTTGTGTGGGCTTACACAGGACACGAACTGTGATTAATAGACTTCCAGTGCTTAATAATTTGCAAAACAGTATTAAACAAGGAACGCTGGGGACAATTGGAATTGGACATAGAAGGGCCAGGAGGTTGATGTAAACAGAACCAGTGCAATCCAAGTGCATGGAATTAACTAAGATGGATGCATAGAATGGTACAGCTGGCAACTGGCAGGGAGCCAATCCCCGGAGAATGCTCTATTGGTCTGTCCAGGTGGTCAGGCTGAGCAGGCCCTTTTAACTTTGTACATCTTATAAAAAAAATGGCAAGGGGGAAAAAGACTACACTTGCAGTGGGAAAAAAAGACAATGAGAAGCCATTGAGGAAGAAAAAGAAAGAGCTTATGAAGCAGAGAACGTTACAAGGCTATAATAGAAAACACGTTCAATGGTAGTAATCCTTGACATGTAGGAAGAAATATAAATACTTTCTGCTTGAATTTAGGTGAACTTTCACTTCACCAGTGAAATAAGAGTGGATGCATTGGTCGCGGTCTACAAATGGTGCAATTTTTTTTTTTTAAGTTTCAAATCCGTGTTATTGACCTGGCCCAGTGATTTTGACTGATAGGGCTGGGAAATAAAAATAAATAGAAAATAGATAAATAGAATCAATTTTACTCCTTTTTTACTGCATTTGCAAATGTAACATTTATACATTATAAGAAGAAAAATATATATATATATTTTATGGAAGTACGTCGTTGTTGTTTTGTTGTTTTGTTTTTACAATTTTTTAAATTTATTTTTTTACAAATGTTTTCATTACAATCTGTCTTTTTTTCTCTCCCATTTATTCCTTTTTGCTTACAGGTATTCTGTTAATTTAGTCCGAATTGACCCTATTCAGGATAACATCGGATAATTGTATTTTACTTGTTTTAACAATTTAATTTTTTTTCGTGGGATGCTAAGCTTTCAGTAAATGATGTATGAAAGATTTAATAAATTATATCACAATCCTGTTCAGGCAAAACCAGGGCAAACATTGCAAATGAAGCAGAGAAATAGAAACATCTTTCATGTCTCCTCTTTGCTGTATGCTTTCTGTATGCTGACTGCCAGGTGCAAAGGACTGAGTTTATAACAATGACTGACAGGGAGCTAAGATAGAAGTGTCCATCCAATTGTAGCATAAAGAGGTGCGACATTCTAAATTCAATTAAATTTTTCTCTCCACATAAATACATGTTTGTTAAATATAGGGATAAGTAAACATAATATTAAAAGTCCAGGAAAGTAACATTACTCCTGTGAGTGCGTTTGATAGGTCATACTTATACTGTAGTTTTCTCTGCATTTATATCTAAACCAATAGAACATATCCCTGCCTCTTTAGCCACATCTTTCCATTTTTACAAAATGTCTTCCTGAGTTGCCTCGACTTCATTGTTCATATACAGCTTAGCCAATTAGAGCTCAGTATAGTTTGATTAATGTGACATTCCACTACCTAAATTTCAAAATAAAATAAAAATCACAGTTTAGTAGATAAAACCCAAATGAAAACATGCATGCATTTAATCATGCATTTTATTAGTTGGGTAGTTGTGGTGTATCTAAAACAGCTTACAAGAACTTCGCAAGACCTCCCCTTTCTTCTTTCTGTGGCTGTCCAATCACAGACTTCCCAATGCAGCTCAATGTCAAGTCTTCGCAAGACAGATGCTCTGGGCAATTGTGTTTTGCTCCAATGAGCTAACCAAACCAGGAAGTAATAGGAGCAGTTGTTTGATTCACAGCTAGGGGGTGTAACAACGTTAATTTAAAAGTTGGGCAGTTTCCACTAAAATATGCACTTTTTGTAAAATTAAAAAAGAGGACACAGTCTTCACACATCTAGGGGTCCAGAGTGTGCCTTTAACTGAGACATTGTATGTGTAGCAGTGAAACTGTGTGTGTTCATATAACAGTAAAATGGTTTGTGCGTGTAAGCATTTGTAAGAATGTGTATTTGTAGTGCATAATCATCATTGAGATTGTGTGTATGTCTCAAATAGAAAATGGATGTGTCAGTGAGCTCCATTTGCAGCCCCAATGTACACTCATTTTGGAGTGCTACTCCATGTTTGTGTGTAGATGGATCAGGGGGTGATTGTGTGTCTTTGAGTGAGTGTGCATGTCAGTGTGTACACTTATCATATTTTTTATTTATTTTTTACTTTAAAAGGATGACACCATTTAATAAGCTAATAGTTCTAATTAACTTATGTGATTTCTGAATATTATGCATAAATATCAGTATGTACACATATGGCACTCTACCTTAAATGAATAATGCCTAGTTACAAACTGTACCTGTATGTACCCAAAATCACAAAAGTTGGTGCACTCATAAAAAGCATAGTGAATTTTATTTCACAGAAGTGACAATTGCATAGTGATCAAAATTTCTGTCCCATCTCAGCTCTTTATGAGATCAAAATACACATGAACCAACAGGATATTTATAACAAGAAAATAGGAGTAATTACGCAACAATTATCACGGCCCCCTACGTATTCTGCAAAACAGGCATGTACCAAAACCAGAAATTGCCCAGCGAATTACATATGCGCAGAACAGTGAAATTTTATCAAGAGACTAAATAACTCTTATAATTAATAAAGAACAACAAAAAAAAAACCTTAAAGGTAAAAATGTTAGAAAATAAAAATTTAAAAGTTTACAAATACACATACTCATTTGAAAATCCATACATTATGAGGGTGCTGCAGGAACCATTTAACTACAAACTAATATCAAAGTCAACTAAATTTAAACATTTCTTAAATTACCTGGGATTTAGTTACAGTATATAATCATACATTGCATAAGTCTACTGCAACCTCAATGTACCCCATATTTGGCAGATCTTACTATCTTTTTGAAAATATTTATTTAAGACTGCGCAGAATGGTTACAAGTGAAAAGACACATTTACACAAACTTAGAAAGCAGTCAGACAAAAGTTTAAAATGTAAAAAGAGAGTGACAGTAAGCCCATTAGTAATTACACATAGTAACAAGGTACTTATAATTAGACTTAGGAAAAGAAAAAAGATAAAAGTGATAAAATCATAATCATAAGACTAGGGAACCCACCCAGCACACAAACAAAATACCACACCTCGTACACCACGAACACGAGTAGCAGAAATAAATATAAGAGAACAACCTCAGGCACTAGGCATAGACCCGAATTTCACCACACTGGAAAGCCTCTACATCTACAGCTTAAATGAGATGACCACCCATGGGTCGAGACCACCTAACTCCCACACTGATCACACCCGCACACAAAACAAACACCAGACCCATATACAACCGAAAGAGACGCAAACCTGACAGACACAACACAGGAAGAGTCAGACACGCTCCCAGAGGCGAAAACGACAAGACCCATGACCAAGTAACAACCTTTACCTGAGACATACAAAAACTGAACTACTCAACCTAGAAGACTGACAGGAGGTTTCGCAATAAACCGTACTGATACCAATGAAATGAAACGAAACTGCAAAGTATTGCATATCACTGCTACCCTACCCCTATCTTTATTCTGTACCCTTTACCTTACCTAAACTTGAAAAATAAAGAATAAAAAAAAAAAAAAAAAGATAAAAGTGGTGGTGGGGGCACGTTAAACCAAAATTTCTACTTTCTAGGGCAAGTGAGGACCCAAAAATCCCAGACATAGGTGTGGGCTCACACATTTTCCCCATTAATGTTTACCCAAGAAGGCAGAGACTGACTATCATGGTGCTGAATCGCACATCCAATGAGCTCCTACAAAATCATGGAATAAACTCCTAAAACCTGCTATTTCAACTAATACATGGGGGCTGGAAGTATTTGTCTCCTGCATCAAATAACCGACCTGCCCTCTTGCAGAAACAAGTACCTGGTCTACAAGGCACCTACACACCTCTTAGTCAAAACACAGCTTTTAGAGCTGCGGCTACGTGCCTGAGGCAACGAAGGCCGTATAGGCGGGCGCTGAAGAGGGAGGTTAGTGGGTCAACACTGAGGCCTAGCTTTAATGGACCTTGTGAGGAGCTATCACAGCAGGACGAGTGGCGGTGGGGGACCCAACTGGTGACACTGGGCTGATTGCCTAAATCAACAGTAATAAGCCTGAAGTACAGCACCAACCTGGAGGGCAGTGTCCTGCCCTCGACTTGCATAGGCTCATTGGCACACTGAGTGCTTGGCAGTAGTTCACTGCATCACCTTCCTGATTACTTGGGGCAGCCCAACTAACTCATGCAACTTATTTATGTCTTTTCTTACCTACATTTTTCTAGATCCCCCACTATAAGCTTCTGTTGAGGTTATACATGTCCTAGCTGTTAGCTAAACGACCTCCTGATAACTCGGGAATGGGGTGGTACAATCTGTTGCTTCTTAGTTAATACTATTAACCCTAATATACTACACTATAAAATAGTGCTGTTATTTCGAAATGCCACCCATTTATACTTCTATGTATGTTGATGTGCTTGCTTTGACTGTTGGGGTATTACAGACTTGCTTGTTCTTCTCTTTATGCACTACAAAAAAAAAAATAATTAGCAAAAAAGTAAGTTTGCCCAAGGGCCATAAATCTTATGGCGCAAAGTATTATTTACTAGTGCAGCTAAATAATCCATTCATTAACTATCTTTAATTTGGGAGATTACCTCCAGGAGATAATTCAGGAGGTGGCAGGTCTTATTCTAACAACCTAATACCCGTTCTCACAAGATTAACCCACTTACTTGGGAAATTCATTCTCCTGGAGCTCTTTTTAGTGCAAGTTTAAATAGGGCGCTGGAATGAGGCACCTGTGTGAGGGAAGGGTGCAAAGGCATGGGAGTTGGCCTGGACGCCTTTATAATATTTATGTAAATGAAACAGGAAAGCTGCACTTATGTAAGCATGAAAACATTATAAGTGTACTACTGGGATTACTTGATGCATATTAGATAGATGCATATGTTGTGAAAGTGTTTATTCTTAATGATCAATTTGTCCATGAGAGGTGCAGTCCACCAGTGGCCAAAATGTAGGACTCTAGGCGACCAAGCCATTACTGGAAGCTGTAGTGGTTTAGTTGCTTAGAACATTCCACTAATGTTTAAATTAAATTAAAAAAACAAAAACAAACATAAACATCAACTCAACAAAATGTTTAGTGAATACAACCAAATGCTTAATTCAAGAACACAACGAATGTTTAAAATGAAATAAACTTCTGAATACTTTAAGTTTAATCTTATTTAACGTAATTGTTACGTACTACACACCGCCCGTGAAGTCATGTTAAATATATATATATATTTACAAATATAAACATTTAATATCTTGCCCCTTTTAGATTCTCACTTTATATTAAGATAGCATTGAAAAGTGAAGAGGACGGTCTATTCATGCTGCTTGTGTATGTTGTCAGGGAAAACCAATTAAGGTTTCCTTATGAGGTTTTTCTGTAGAACACCAAATGTCACAAAAGGCTATAGTTCCAGAGCTTCCAATTAGAACAAATCCCATTAAAAACATATTCACTGTATCTAATTTAGTTATAGATTGCCAACTGTTTGGTTGGGACACAATGAATTGTAATAAAGGGCATAGTGGGAGATGCAGGAGACAGCAGTCATCTATTTATTTAAACATTTTGAAACAAATGGCACTTGTACGTGGAATGGTTAAGTAGTTTGTAAATGAGGCGATGCCTTTGATGAATTTTATTGCCCATTGTGGAACATGTTGCTAGTTGTACCAAATGAAAAATGTCCTCTGTTTGTAGGCAAATAAATGACTCTGCATTATATTAGGAAAGTGCCTGAAAAACTCTGCCACAATTTCATTTTGAACTACAACTCCCATTACTTGCAACAGTCTAAAGGTCAAGTGTTTAGCCTGAAAACAGCAGGGATTATTTGCCAGCTGGGATGTTATTTGGTGAAATTCATGGTGCACAAAGTGCACTCTGAATGTAACAGTTGTTGATAAAATCTTCCCACATGTTCACATTGGCTACAATGTCAATGGGGGACTGCAGAACAATTTAAGGTTACAAGAAAATTAACAAATACATTATAGGGTCAACTGATTTCAAAATCATGGATATTTATATTGGGCTTCTACTTCCTTATCTGCTGTTATAGACGTCACTTTTCTGGGAAGGCTTTTCTTAAAAATTATGGGGCACTGCTGCATTTATCCACAATAGCACTGATGAAGTCAAGTATTGATTTAAAGGAACACTATAGGGTCAGGAACACAAACGTATTCCTGACCCTATGGTGTTAAAACCACCATCTAGCCCTCCTCCCCCCTCACCCTCTTACTTTTATTTAAGTTTTCAACTGCTGGCTCTGTCTTTGATCTGCTTGCTTTGCTGACATCATCAGAAGTGAGTTTCTGAGCCAATCACAATGCTTTTACATTGGATTGGCTGAGACTGTCAAGAAGGCAGATCAAGGGCAGTACCAGCACAAGCCAAGCACAGCTCTGGTCAATCAGCATCTTCTCATAGACATGCATTGAATCAATACATTTCTATGAGGAAAGTACAGTGTCTCCATACAGAGGGTGGAGACACTGAATGTCAGTGCTGCATAGTGTGCAGCACTGCCACAGGAAGCACCTCTTGCAGTCATATGATAAGTGGCCAGTGGAGTTATCACTAGGCTGTAATGTAAACACTGCATTTTCTTTGAAAAGACAGTGTTTACTGCAAAAAGCCTGAAGGGAATGATTCTACTCAGAAGAACAAATACAATAAGCTGTAGTTGTTCTGGTGACTATAGTGTCCCTTTAAGGTTGGCCAACTGGTGGATTGCAGTACTTTGGCTGAACAGGCTACCAGATTATGATGGGTAGGCGTCAGGGGCGTTTTAGCCGCGAGGCTAACAAGGCATTTGCCTTGGGCGGCATTTTTCAGGGGGCGCCCGCCCCCCAAATGCCCAGGGCAAATGCCTTGTTAGCCTCGCGGCTAACTGACATGCCGGGCTGGGCTGGGCGGGCGGCTGGCGAGGGAGCTCTTCCTGTGAGCGGTCTTCTCAGCTCCCTCACGCGCCGCAGAGTTAGGCTGGGAGCCGGAAGATGACGTCATCAACCCGGCTCCCAGCCTCACTCTGCTGCGCACGAGGGAGCTGAGCAGACCGATCAGGGGAAGAGCTCCCTCGCCAGCCGCCCGCCCAGCCTAGCCCGGCAGCCACTGGACCACCAGGGAGAAAGGGAACCCCCCCCTCCAGCACTCCCAAAGGTAAAGAGGTTGGGGGGGTGGGGTAAATAAAAATACAATAAAAAAATGTGTTAATGTGAGTGAGTTAGTGTGTGTCTGTTAATGTGTGTGTGTTTTGTTAGTGTGTGTGTGCGTGTTTTGTTAGTGTGTGTGTGTGTGTCTGACTGTGTGAGTGTGTGTGTCTGCTAGTGAGTGAGTGTGTGTCTGTTAGTGTGTGTGTGTTAGTGTGTATGTGTGTGTGTCTGACTGTGTGTCAGTGAGTGTGTGTTTGCCTGTGAGTGTGTGTGTATGTGTGTGTGTTGTTAGTGTGTGTGTGTGTGTGTGTGTGTTAGTGTGTGTGTGTGTCTGTTAGTGTGTGTGTGTGTGTGTCTGTTAGTGTGAGTGTGTTTGCGAGAGTGTGTGTCAGTGAGTGTGTGTCTGTTAGTGTGTGTGTGTGTCTGTTGTGTGTGTGTGTGTGTGTGTCTGTTAGTGTGTGTGTGTCTGTTAGTGTGAGTGTGTTTGCCTGTGAGTGTGTGTGTGTCAGTGAGTGTGTCTGTTAATGTGTGTGTGTTTGTTAGTGTGTGTGTGAGTTTGTGTGTGTGTCTGCTAGTGAGTGAGTGTGTGTCTGTTAGTGTGTGTGTTTGACTGCTTTTAGTGTGTGTATGTGTGTGTCTGACTGTGTGTGTGTGTGTCTGTTAGTGTGAGTGTGTCTGTTAGTGTGTGTGTGTGTTTCTGTTAGCGAGTGTATGCATATCTGTCAGTGAATGTGTGTGTGTGTATTTAGAAGGCGGGGGGGGGGTTGGGGGGGGGGGGGGCACCTGAGTTTTGTCCTGCCTAGGGCAGCACAAAACCAGGATACACCACTGGTAGGCGTGATGTCCCTGCAGGGTAAGACAAGACTGAACTCATGACATTTATAAAACACTCTGGTTATAGTTGGTGGCAAATAAGGCTTTAGAATCTGAGTCTGTGGGGGAAATTTATCTGTGTCTCAGACACTTTTGCTTCTAATTTTGAACCAATTTTGGTGCTTTTTAGTAAATCTGTCACAATTTGTTGATCTGTTGCTTTTTAAACACACATACATACTGTAACTTTTGTAACTGTCATTTTGTAATTTTACCGGTGTTAGTGGGGCGCGGTTATGGGTGGAGCTGTTCAGATAAATTTTAGGTGACTTACTAACAATTTATAGAACTAAAATGTAATTTGAATTACATTCCACAATGTATAGTGTTCCTTTAATGTATGACATAAGACAGAATGCAAGCTCTGAACTGAAATAAACATACCTTTTTAAATGCAGCAAAAGCTTTGTAATTATCATAAATAAAGCAAACCTTCCCAATCTGGACAAATCATTCATATTGATATTTTCTTTAAAGGGAACGATACCAGCAGTGTTAGTTTAGGATTAATTAGATAGTACTATTTAATTTGCTACCCATCCACTAGGGACTTAAATAACTTGGAACCTGACACTTCCTGAAAAACAGGTGCATGAAAAAACGAATAAAAATTAAATAGGAAAAAGGCAGTGGCGTAGTATGGAAGTGGGCACATAGGTAGATGCTCTAGGCGCAAACTGCAAAATTTCAAAAGAAAAAAAAAGTATAAAAAGAAAAATGGCACCCTCTCCCCTCACATAGAAAATCTCCTATTGCTCGAACATTCTAGTTTTTCAGCATGATGGGGCAAATAAACATTACCGCATAACATTCTACACTATTTTTCTTGCTACTTACAGCCTCACAATTAATTAATTATTACAATTACATACTGTCCTCATGTAATCGTTATCGGTGAATTACATAATGCCTATTAGTAGCATGACAATAAAAGAAAATAAGAAAAGAGTCCAGTTCGGTTGTTCACTCAACCAAGGCATTTAAGTCTTTCAATATAGGATAATCTACACCAAAAATAAAAAAGTGGAAATATACCAATAATAAATGATAACTTTATTAAATTAGTTTAAAACGGCTATAATAGCCACCATAACAGGCCACTGCAAAAGTATATAAAAAAAACAAAGTTATATTTAGCATGTGCTTATTCCTATGTGTAATACCGCATTTTAGTCACTAGGAGTCCTAGTCATCTCTGAGCTGCAGCAAATAAGCAAATGGTCTGCCCAAAATATAATGTACTAGAGAGATACCCACACGTTACCAGTAGGGAGTATTGATCATGTTAAATAGTAACTGAGACGGGTATAAGACAACTGTGTAACCAAAATAAGTCAAAAACACAGGAAAACTGCAGCAAACAACTAAATGTGCTGCAGTGTATTATATATGTTGCCCAAAACCAAGTACACGTATATAATACCCACAAATCATCACATGGAGTTAATGCTCAAATCTGATGGTCTCTGAAAGGGGTAAAGAATATAGAACACTGAATTGACCTACATAAGGAAAGGGCTAAAAAGTAATGTCCCAGAAGAGCAGTTTCCTGCACTAGCCCTGGCAAACAGATTTAAACAAGCTAACAGTATCCCTACTCTGGGTCATTGGACAGACGTATAATACGCATAAGGGATAGAAAAAAAAGAATGAAATTAACATGCTCTTGACGCACGTTTCATCCGCTACGCATGGTTTATCAGGAGAACCAGTATCAAACATGCCTGTTAAATGATGTCGTCTAGGTAGCCTCATTCCTCCTTCTCTACCCGCCTCGTCTTCGTGATGTTGTGTGGAACTCATAGTTGCATTGCAGAAATTACAGAAATTACAGAAAAGCCATAATGTATTTTTTTTAAAAAACATTTTTTTAAAACAGAGCATCAGGTTAGCTAATAGGTTAGGCCAATTAATCTCCCATAAATTAAGAGCTGCCTGTATGAAGATTACCTTTCAAGACCCATGTTAGCAATTGAAGAGTCAAACAGGATTGTGGAGAGATGCAAAAGTAGCAGCATTGGGAGAGATGAAGTTTCAGAAAATGAAGTCACAGTAGGAAGAATATGATTCAATACTTAGTCCTGTTGCTCAGTGGGGTGGCTCACAAGCAGGAATTGGATGAGCAGAAACCACCATTAACATTGCATTTGAGCAACATAATACTGAAGGTGCTTATCTTATCTACATAACATTTTTCTAACTGTTTTTATAGATTTATGTGGACTCTTATCGCATATCTAATTATGTGCTAACATAGTCATTTCCCTGGTTGCCATTTCATGTGAGATATTAGGGTTATCTGTTATATGCAGCCTGCTCGGCCCCAGTTGTCTTTTTTTGATACATTTTTTGCAGGTTTTTTTTTTCTCTTTCTTTTTATGGATAGAGTTTTAACCTTTTTCGACTGGATTATAAATATGATGGTTTAAAGACATATTTTTGGACGTACTGTATTTTTCAAAATGTAAATTGTGGACGGTTAAAGGGGCAGTCAGTCATTTAATAAGAAAAGAAAAAATGTATAAAAAGCAGACAAATTATTTTACTAACCAGGTATTTTAGTTATTTGCACTATTAACTGAGAAACATATTTAAGGTACACATGTGACATCACCAATATAGTAAATGAAGAAGGTGTCAAATGACAAGCAAGTATATATGTGAATTTCTGACTCCATGAGCAATTCTTCACAAAGGTGTACAGCCTAAATGTGTATAAACATTTTCTTCCCAGTCCCCTCTATGGACACTTTGCCATGCATTTTGGTTAGCTTATTATGTGTTAGAAGAAAAAAAGTATAGACTATCCCAGTATACACCTAGTTATCGCCAAAGCAGAAATGTTAATTTTGCACCTAATTTTTAAAGTAGTTTTTAATATAAATGGGAATGCCAGGCAAGAGCGGGACTTGACGTAGGACCATACTTTGCTCAGCTAGTCTGATAAACTCTCAGACCTAGGCTCCTCTGAGCCTGTGGGGGTGGCATCTGGTGTGGGTAAATCATCAAGCAGTGTGCTATGGTGCATGCTAAACCACATAAACATGATATACAAATAATGCAGGTACATATGAACATTTAGATCACCCAGGCCTGTTTGCTAAGGTTTCATAAAATCGAGACAAGGTCTGATATCACCAGAAGGATGCCCAATGTTCTCCACCACCTCCAATACACACAAGGTCAAAACCTCTTTTTGACCGCAGGCGCAGAGAACGCATTTGATCGGCTAAATTGAGATTTGCTGACTCAGATTCTCCTATTATATGGTTTTCCCAAATATTTCTTTATGGAACTTATGGCCCTATACCTAATACCATCCGATTAAGAGGGCTATTGTCTAGTGTAAAATATGTAAAATATGATTAAGACAACCTCGTCACTGTTTAGTACAGATTCGTTCAATTTCTTTGGGCAGAGGGCTGGCACTAGGAGGGAGATATTCACATATTATGAACGCCTTTTAACGTGCACTTGCAATACATAAAATTCTAAAAGCAAAGTGTTTAATCGAAATACACTGGAAAAGTCAGATAGTTCTCAAACAACATTGGCTATACTGTACTCTAAACTTCAGACAAACTGTAGATATGAAACAATGTCAGCCCTTACACTGAGTCAGAGAAAGAATATTTGGGTTTTTCTGATGATTAGATTTAGGTATAATTTGAGTTTATAACACTGTAGTTGATCTTAGTGGCTGTACCCACACATCTATTGCCCTTTGAGATATAACATGCATCTTTTTTCTGTACTGAAAGACCTTAGTAAAATATGATTTTTTAAAAAGGTAGAGTTAAGTATTTAGATGCGTATTTTCTCTTGATGCATGCCCTAATACAATGTACTGCATACCACTAAGTCACAATATACACCTACAACACTGCAATCTATTAATGAGGCAAGGAGTACCACCTTCATTCAAAGAGACAGAACAAAAAACTACATAATAAATGTGATATAGTACCAAGAAATTAAGGAGAGGAATTATCATTTCTTTTCAATGCATCCACAAAAAAACAACTAATTAGACTTGCTTGTTTATTTCATTTTTTTTAATATACATTATATGCTGCCCAATAAAAGATTAGTGGCCTTTGTCATTCCAGCTCCTATGCAGAGCAGTGATCATTCTACAAAGTCGGTTTATGAAGGGTAGGAATGGGAAGAGTTCATTTGTACTGCCACGGATTGTCTTATCTTGCTGCTGTAGACTGCAATTCCAACAACTCCTAGCCAGGCTCAGGCTAGACCTACAGAGACCAAAATACAACATACCTGAGAACAAACATTATAAATGTACTTTTACATTACACTTTGTATAATAGTTTTGTTAATTTTATTTGAAAGTACTGTGTTTAAATAATGGTGTCTACATACAACCAAGTAGTTATATAAAGATAGTTCATTCATTGACTTGGTCCTGTGATTCCACCGCTAGATCAATTTCATTCTCTTGCAGCTACCTTCTGATCTGCTTAGCTTGTTAATTACTCCTGAAGTGGATTATTCACAGTCAGCTGACAAATGTATGGCCAAGGTAGCCCAGTAAACTCTACTGCAACATAACTGCAACATAACTCACAAAACTCACAGTTTAGTGAATACGTTCCAAAGTGTTAAAAGGGACCTTGTTGCCAATGAGAAGTAGTAGTTTAACTGTGACTTGAGGTTGTAAATAATGATTACTAGTAAAATTACATATACCCTTGATGTTCTGGCACTGTCAGAACTTTCCTTATTTGAGATCAAAATTTCTCTATTCTAGATTTTTTATTTTTGTTTGGTGTTCTGAAAAGAAATGTATGGTACTATATGGAAACAAATGGCTAGAATGAAGAACAAATAATTTGTGTATGACATCCAATTGGCAATGTCATAAATCAAGGGCCTTACAATTTGTCCAGTTGTTCTGGACTGGTGTTCTAGACCGATACAATGTGTTCTGGAACTAGACAATGCTTTTCTAAACTTTTCCGTTTATAAATGTTGAAAATTACATTCAAAATCTGATCAAAACAATAAAATAACTCAGTGTGTATCAATCACCTGGGACTATGTATTAGAATACAAGGTTTAAATGCATTTTTATAATTTGCTTACACTGCAAATCTTCATCATTAGAACCCATTAATCAGAATACGTCTAGAACGTGCATCCGTCAGAAATGATAGAAAGATAAAATACTTTTTAATGGCATTGATGGAAATGATTTAAAAAAAAAAGTATGTATAATAATTTTTCTTTTATGTGCCTCCATTGTAACCAACTATTCAAGAAGTCCTTTTAGATTCTTATCATGGAATGTTAAAAAAGTTACATTATGCACTTTACCCGTACATGATGGAATCATTCGCTACCCTCCAATTGGCAGTAATTTTACTGCACACAATTAACGTATAAACTAGGCAGCCACATCACGCACTGTTTTACATTCTGTACATAGTAAATGGACACATTCGTAAAGCCATTGCATTTCTTTCATATGTCTCTCAGGACGTGTTACTTGCAATTCAAATTATTTACTCCATCTAAAATTGATAACCCCACACCCTTTAACAATAACACACATGTGTTGGGAATACAAGGAATGGATCCCAAGAGATCGCACATAATCTCAGTGATTTTTGTGTCTTACTAATGATCCCTTAAATCCACCATTCTCGTTTAATATTGGCTAGCCGTTACCATTAAAATGATTGACAGGCTTATACTGTTGAGACGTAACACATTATCCACAAGCTTTTTGCTAAATGAAGAAATTGTGAAACTGTTGTGTATATATAGGCTTGTCACAGGGCAGTTTAGCTCCTGCAAATATATATAGCAATGCAGTGGAAACTAATTAGCTGTGATGATGTGCAGATGGTAAATTTGACTATCAAGCATGCATTGATACAATCTACAATACAATTCTCTCTCTCTCTCTCTCTTTTTTTTTTATTTATGCAGGAAGGACCAAGTTCTCTTTCGGTTTACGCCCTACGGTTGGGCCCCGGAGAAGAAATAGTCACATCATTGTTTAAATTTGTGGAGGAGAAAAAACTAAAAGCTCCGTTTGTTATCACTTGTGTCGGCAGTGTCACCAAAGCAACACTTAGGCTGGCTAATTCCGATGCTCTGAATACCAATGAGGTACCTGACAGGTCCGCTGATGAACTGACTCAGTTTAAGTCATGCATAGATACAGAAAGATGGCGTTGGAGTGTTTCAAGAGAAGTGTACTGTTCCTAATTATGTAATTATAAGTCTTAGGTGCCAAACTACAAGCTGTTCCTAAAATCTGTTCTTTCTGTCTGTCATTGTGAATGTGGAGAATGAAAAATATTCCCCCTAAAGGTATCCTGTCATCTTTAATTTGATATAATCTTTAATTAAACACATTGGCAATGCTGAAATGGTGAAATATGTACGATCTTTCTTAAGTCACATCGGAAATATCCCTCCTTGGGCTGTCTCAATTACCAGGCATATAAAACCAAAGATGTGTTTGCTTCCCTAGCTCAGCATGTTAAGTAAGAACAAGACGAACGAAAGACAGTCGTTATATTTATATACAATAGTGCGTGCTATTTCTTTTGTGTCAAAGAAAGCATCTCTAAGATAAAGGGGAATGAAATTGTCATTAAAGTAAAAATGTAAATGGGATGCTCAGTCTGGGAGTTTATTTATATATGTGTTTGGATTTACCGAGTGAGTTGAGTGATCATCTATTATGGTTTTTGTTTATTGTGACTGAGTTGCATTATCAACGTATTTCCACCATTGTTAGAGGGACAAAAAAATCCCTAAGATTATGATCTTTTTATGCCAGACGCAACATTAGTTTAATAACATAATAGTAAATATTCCTTTCGCACTGTGAAATAGAAATGCTTATGCAAAATGTATGACATGAAAGGAATTGAGCTATAAAAGAACATTAGATTAAGTCATTTATACAATATTTTAAGGTGATGGAAGTCTTTTTTTGACTTTACTTTTATATCCAATAAAATACATAATAAAAAGCAATGAATTGGCACGAACTTTAGAATAACTGATTTTATCTGAACTCCTGCGACTTTATTCGACCTCTGCCTCTACTATGTAGAAAATAAAATAGCAAGCTTCCTCAGTTAGACTTAAGTGCCCAAAAATCCCCTGTCCGCACTCCTTTATATTTGAAGTTGGATACAGATTTTCAGAAATGACTGATGTTCCCCATATCACTGTTTTGGTTAATGGTACCTGCCACCAGTTTAATTAAATTTAGGATCCTACTTTCAGAGCTCTTTCACACCCTTATAGTGGGGTTTTGGTTTTGAATATGGTGTTCATTGCTGTCTAACTTGTACTTTTGACTAAAGCCTTTAATGATCTGTTTATCTGTCTGTCTTTCTGATCTATATAAAAAAAAAAACCAAGAAATAATTTTCTATGTGCTAAAATATTACGGTATTTAAAAAGTGAAATTGCGGTATGGAGTTCTAAAACTAGAATGACTATCATTCCATGATCGCTTACATTTTAGAACTTACAATTCTTTCTTCAAAATACGATTTGACTATTGTTTATCCAAAAAAACTCAGAAATAAGCCCTAATAGATATATTTCAACGGAAACCATAACTTTTTTGAATGTATTTTCAGATCAGTAGTCTGTAGTGATTTGGGTGGATAATTCTATTTGTAGATTTAGTTACAAAGGGGTGTAGGTAAAAACACAGTTATGGCACAGATGATATTGTAACTATTGAACTTTTTTATTTTATTTTTTTATTTTATGGGATCAGTTATAAACTTAGACTTTACAACTAGAATTCGGTTATAGGAACATAACATGCTGGCTCAAATAGGTCAGGACTAAATTTAAAACCATACATAGGGCCAGAATTCTACAACATATAAAATAAAATGCATTTCCTTTAGTAAAATATATCCTAGTTTTACCTTGAAAACCATTCCCAAGTAAACCTTTGTAAAATGTCAGTTTATATAAATAAGTGCAATGATCTCTGACATAAAAATTGATCACAGATAAAACCACCTTGGTTTATTGAGTCTATACCGTAAAAAAACATCAAACTAATCAATAGGGCAACAAGTAAAAGGTCTTACTAAAACAGAGGACCATAGTCTTAAGATCTTAGAAAGAATAATCATTTGTTGTTGCTCCTATCCTCCTTTTTTTAATGTCTGGAATTTCTTCCAAATATTTTTATCGGTTGGTAGGCTATTGAATTTGTCTAGCATTCTTCCATCGACCACTGTTTAGATTTTATGAAATTTCATGTTCACATGGTACATTTATGTGTATACATTATAGGTATTATTCAACATATAATGGACAAATTAAATTGAAGAGCATTTATGACTTGGACTTTTCAAATTTCATATTCCTGACAGATAATTTACCTAAACGAGAGATTAGAAGTCGTTTCCTTGGTTGGAACATTGAACGAACATGCTCACCTACACATATCTCTGGCAGATAAAGATGGAAAAACCATTGGTGGACATGCTCTCGGTGACCTAGAAGTCTTTACCACCGCTGAAATTGTTATTGGAGAAGCCAGCACCTTGCAATTCACGCGGGAGATGGATAACCACACAGGCTTCCCAGAACTTGTCATTAGGCCGCGATCGGAGGATGCTATCAGTACCTAGATTCTAAATTATAGGCCTTGTTTTTTTTTTTTTTGCCCGGGCAAGTGAATGAGATAAATTTGCTTCAAAGCATGTCTTTGGGTTGCTCTTTGCATTTTTGTATTGCTTCCAATCATTTGTTCACACAAAACATAATCAGTCATATATGAAACAGACCGAGAGAAATCATTTTGCTGAAATCCTTAAATTTCATGGTAATAATTTGGGCTTTTTATCAACATTTGTTTAGATTATTTTCTTTGCGAGCTTCAGCTGAGCTGTTCTGCAGGGATTTAACGAGACTGATTGGCCCACAGAGGGTAGAGGATAGTGACAGAAGCTCTGAGGGCTAATGGATGTACTGTTTGCTCATCTTTATACAGTTACTATAAGCCACTAATTGGGAAGGACAGCTCAAACAAGCACAGAGAAGCTGTTGTCAGATGCGCGTGACATGGGTCTAAAGAAGCAGTTACGATAGCTGTGCAGCCTGGCCCTACAGAACAACGCTCCACATAACCTACTCTCACTTATTATGAGTTTAGCTGCTTCAAGTAATATGGGGACGCAAGTTATTTCAACGCATGATAATTTATCAAACCTCTGTCTGCGAGCTGCACAAAGTCAGTCGCTGTAATTTTTCTCAGATGTTATATGCTGTAGAGAGAAATTAAACAAGCTCTGTTGCAACTAATAAATCTATGTTTAGTGAGAACACAGCTCTCATAACGGAAATGTTGATAGTTTAATAATGCAAGGGATTTATTCACTAAACTAGTAATTGTGGAGAAACGAAAAGGTCCAAGATAATAATTGGCTTATTTTCTGGGATTTTTTTCTCTCCAATTTGTAATAGAGATGTCCTGCTATGTACATTTTAAAATATTTTACATTCTACAAACATTTTTTTATTCAATCTATGTAAAACCACCAACTATAGTCATACTATTATTACTGCTTGAACACATTGTACCATAAATAAAGTAATTTAAATTCATATAAATGCAGGCACTAAGCACAATGTTGTAACATTTGTTGACCTATATCTCCCATTGTCTATATATCGATACCTGATGAATTTTTAAACAGAATTATTAAAATAAAATGATGTGATAAAATTGTGATATAGCTGTGTGCTTCCTATAAAAAAATAAAAATAAACCTTCAACACAGTGAACATTTGCCTAGAAATATATATATATATATATAGATATGCTATGCGTGTGTACGTATATATATATATATATATATATATATATATATAATTAAATATTGCAGAGATCACGTATAAGGAATTAGAATTCATTTTCAGCCGTAATGGTTAATTTGTATACGTTCGATTGAAGCAAAGTGTCTCTAGAATGGAATAATGGCAGAAGTCGTTGCCTTACCACAGTGAGAACGACATCATAAAGCAGCATTTTTACTGTAGTGCGAAGTTGCGGAGAGATGCATTCCGTACTGGCTGCTATGGAACTGAATGTCAGGAAACTCATTTTAGTGACAAACGATCATACTTAATATATCTGGAAAAAAAGACAGCCAGTTCATAGAGTTCATTCCTCTTTACACAGCAATGCAGTCTTATGTTAATCTCCTAGAAGGTAAGACATGTCACACAAACGCCAATTGGTAATGGAGCTATAAAATAGGGCAGCTAAACTCTCAGGGACAGTAACTCCCTGTGCCTGAATTAATTAAACGCTTCTCTCATTTTTTTACCCTTGCTATTTGTAGCAGGACTTTAGCTGTGAAGAGAGGGATTGGCCCTTTAGTGAGGCATGACAATTGTACAATAAAAAAATATTTAGAAATGCAGCTTTTGACCCTCAGCTAATAGAATGCTGTATCTGGGAAGTATTACAATGCGTACAGATCAATTACCAATAGGTTATGTTAGGACCTTTCAACTATGACCTGCTGTGAAATGTGTTTGAAATCAATATTTTGCAGGGTTTTTTTTAGATTTTATTTTGAAACAAACTGTTTGTTAACTATTTTTGTATTTGCCTATTTATTGACTTTATTAAGGTAGCAGACTGAAATTGACCATTTTATGTGGATTTTGCATCAAAAATAAGCCAAAAGAAATATAAATATCTTACTTGGCAGTTACCCCCGTACAGGCCTTATTTATTAATAATGTTTTCTTTGTCAGAAAAACAAGAGATTTAAAAAAATAAGGTATAAATGTTATACCAAACAAGTGGAGCGCTCTGAACAGTAGAGGGGTTTACTCACCCCTTTTAATGCAGTGACAGTCTTGAGAAACTTGAATAAACATATAAAAGGGAACAAGAAAACAAGAAATATAGTGCAGACGGTTTCCCAAATAGACAATTGATGGTAATAAATGACTTAAACCACTCACATGGACAGGAGCCTATACAATATTGGCTCCGTAAAAAGATCCTTTATGCTCTTTGGGCAGCAAACACCCCTTTGTCCCAGGCAGTATCCCTCCAGGAATATACAACGAGAGAGAAAACAGAAAAGAAACTATGTAGAAAAGCACATGCTATATTAATATCAAAAGTGTAAATAGTTGCGCTCACCTTTTCCAGAGCCCTGAAATCCCGGCTCTGAGGTTGATAAACAATATGCTACTTTTATGGGGGAATAGCACTCTCCCCAATGGAGTTCCTAACGGCTAGAAAGGACTTTGGACTAAAGTGTAAAATAATAATGTATACATGTATTAACAATACAGTAAAAACAAAATAGATATGTACTAAAAAGTAAAAAATCCAATTAAAGTCCAATTAAAAGTCCAGAATAATCAGCTAAACGCGTTTCACTCTATGAGCTTCCTCAGTAGCTGTGGTAGTGATAATATAACTAATAAGTAACACTCTCTATCTCTTATTTAGAGATAGTTTTTTTGTTTTATATTAAAACAAGAGATTGTTAAACATTTTAGCTAATCGGTGCTATTTCATTGGGTAGGCAAACACTTGGACTACTGATGATGGAGTTCACAAATACCGTGTTATTTGTATATACAGTTGCACCACATTTCCTGGTAGAAAATGAATCTGAAGACAATGTTAAATTCTGCTGGTAAAAACTAAACAACATATAGTAGTTTAATTTTTCTAAAACTCCTGTTATGCATGTTAAAGGCTCACTCTAATCATTATTGCAAAGTTTATGGTGCAGAGAGCACCCTACACCCAGGACCGGATTAACATAGGGGCTGATGGAGCTGCAGCTCCAGGCCCAAGCCCATGGAATAGGCCCATTGATTTAAAAAAATTTTTTTACACACTACACTTAGGTATTTCTTACAGTTGCCAGATATTTCTCAGAAGTATTTCTCAGGTATTTGACGCTGCCTAGCCAGTGGCAGTATTGCATTAATACCAGCAATACAAATGTCAGTCTCAGTATAAACAGATATTATTCTGCAATACCAGCGCCGACCAGTAGGGGACACTGTGTGTGGAGAGAGGCAGGGATAAGAAGTTACAGCATCTACCTCCCTGCCTCTCTCTACTCACTGATCTACTCACTGCACAGAGTCCAGACAGCAGCTCCGAGCCTGCAAAGGCAGCCAAAGCTCAGGTAAGTGAGGGATGGGTGAAAGGATGCAGGGAGACATGGGGAAACAGACACTAGGGCACATTGGCAGACACTAGGGGACACTGAGACACTAGGGGACACTGTGAGACATGGGAACACTGAGACACTAGGGGGCACTGAGACACTAGGAGACACTTGAGAACACTGAGACACTAGAGGGTACTGGGGACACAGCCACAAGGGGAAATTGTGAGAGATGGGGACAGTGAGACACTTAGGGACACTGATGGGGCAGTTGGAGACCTGGGGACACTGAGACACTAGGGTAAACTGTGAGACATGGGGACGGTGAGAGACTTGGGGACACTGAGACATTGGGACAATGGGAGACATAAGGACACTGGGGAACATGGGTACCCTGAGACACTAGGGACACAGTGGCCCCATGCCTCCCAGTGCTCTTTGGTGTCGCTCAGTGTCCCCATGTCTCCCAGTGCCCCTGGTGTCTCCCAGTGTCCTTAGTGTCTCAGTGTCCCCATGACTCTCCCAGTGTCCCCTATTGTCTCAGTGTCCCCATGTCTCCCAGCCAGTGTCCCTAGTATCTCAGTATCCCCATGTCTCCCAGTGTCCCTGGTGTCTCTCAGTGTCCATAGTGTGCCAGTGTCCCTAGTGTTTCAGTGTTTCCTAGTCTCCCAGTGTCCCTATGTCTCCCAGTGTCTCAGTGTCCTCTAGTATAAAAGAAAAATCCCAGGCACTCATTGTGATAGATTTAAGCAGGTTTATTGGACACCGCAACGATTCGACCTGTACCCAGGTCTTTATCAAGTCTCCAGTGTCCCCTATGTATCACAGTGCCCCCTAAATATCAGAGTGTCTCAGTGCCCCATGGGAGACATGGGGACACAGACACTAAGGGACTGGGAGACATGGGGACACAGACATGCATCCTTTTTGGGTATGTTCGTCCCTTTTGGCAGTTATGATTATGTGATTTGCGTCAGTTGCCCACCCTTTTACCCCATCCTTAGATTTCCTGCTTTATTGGACACTGCTGTTAAGGGGTATGAATTTATTTGAAAGATGAAAGCGTGAGATTAACATAGGGTATGTGTTTTCTCATAGCTGCATCCTATGAGTTTTCCTCCAGCACCATCTCCATCACACACATGACGTTTGGGAAGTAGGGCTCTTTTAGTGTTTTTGGTCAATAAGATTTTGTAATTAGGCCTATCATAATTGTCAGCACTAGGCCCACTGGGCTATTAATCTGGCCCTGCCTACACCTAGTCTGTGAAGCTGTTCTTATAAAAGCAGCAATTAAATACAAAAACAAAATCCGCTATTAGCCAGCCTGCTGGCTTGTGCACAATAAAAATGAGTGTTAATTTCTTGTTTGCTGTGCTAAGTCAATTTTGTCTAACTTGTGCTTGTGACAAATGTACACTGCATGAACCTATGAGAAGGCTCCTCCCAAGAGAGATCTGAGACTTGGTTGTGTGCATGTACTATTGAAATGATTTGTCATATTATCTGTGAATAAACTGATAACAATTTTCCATATACAAAACAAGAGAGTATTAATAATCAAGTAATACCAGAAACAGGTGCAATATTAGTAAGATACTCCCCCCAGTATCAAAAAACACAATGTATTTACACAAGAATGTACATAAAACATTATCAAATCCAATATCATATATTAAATACAAAAATACCAAACACAGGTAACAAACATAAAGTTAATGAGGCTACATAATACCAACAGCATAAAAATTCCAAGACACATGTCACAGGGACCTCAACTTTTCCTCATACATTTCTGCCTTTCCCAAGGCATAGTCCCTATGCCTCATTCACTTTATGTTTGTTACTTGTGTTTGTTATATTTGTACATAAGGTGCAAATCGTTAGTTTTTTGTATAAAAACTGATAACAGCCATGACATGACTTCAATCTTTACATAGAGCATTTTTTAACATCCAACATTGTGAATGGAATTTCTGCTAGGGGATACAATATTTATCCCATAATCTCCAGATGAACATGGGCTTACGGGATAGGATCAGATCCATAGAAAAGAAGTGAAGGCTTCTGATTGGTGTAGCCTCTTCCTGGACTTATACTGCTTTGCCTGAAGCTGTATTCATCAATATATAGGCTGTGCAGCTTTTAGATTATTGAAGATAATTGAAGATATTGAAAATAAATAATGAGCCTATCAATGTGCTATTTTATGTTTTGATCTCATAATCTCTTGCCCAGGCGTAGTTCAGCCCGAGTGCTGTTACAGTGATCAGATGAGTGGAAGAGCTAAAAAAAACTTATAGCAGCCACAGTGCAGCAACTATTAGCCTATTCACAACACATTCATAATTCTGTTGTTTCTTGTTGCTTATCCCCATGGCACCGTTATGGCATTCTATTCCGTCCGCATTATAATGGGCTTTAAAGCCGTCGTGGCAGAATAGAATGGGTAGATGGGTCATCAGCAAAAAACACTTGATGTTTTTTAATGATTTAATATGTCCAATTTATCGGTGTATATTTTTCTTAGCAATTTGGCTGAAATAATCCCAAATTCCCTGCTGATGGGATCGTGACAATGTAGCAGAATTAAATCAAATGAAGCTGTTTCATCTGACAATGTTTGCATTTGGGAGTTAAAGTCCCTAAACTGTATTGTTAAAAAAAAAAAAAAAAAATCTAAATTTTTTTAAAATAAAGATTCAGAAGCATATTAGCAGACAAATTGGGATAGCCTGTTACTGGGACAAATCAAATGTGTTTCATATTTAATCAAAGATAACCCCACTAGTGCCATTGGCTTTTTAACCCCATTAAAGGACCACTATAGTGCCAGGAAAACATACTCGTTTTCCTGGCACTATAGTGCCCTGAGGGTGCCCCCACCCTCAGGGACCCCCTCCCGCCCGGCTCTGGAAGGGGAAAGGGGTAAAAACTTACCTTTTTCCAGCGCTGGGCGGAGAGCTCTCCTCCTCCTCTCCGCCTCCGTTACGCCCCGCCGGCTGAATGCGCACGCGCGGCAAGAGCTGCGCGCGCATTCAGCCGGTCTCATAGGAAAGCATTTACAATGCTTTCCTATGGACGCTGGCGTGCTCTCACTGTGATTTTCACAGTGAGAAGCACGCAAGCGCCTCCAGTGGCTGTCAATGAGACAGCCACTAGAGGCTTTGGGGGAAGGCTTAACCCATTCATAATTATAGCAGTTTCTCTGAAACTGCTATAATTATGAAAAAATGGGTTAACCCTAGAAGGACCTGGCACCCAGACCACTTCATTAAGCTGAAGTGGTCTGGGTGCCTAGAGTGGTCCTTTAAGGACCAAACTTCTGGAATAAAAGGGAATCATTACATGTCACACATGTCATGTGTCCTTAAGGGGTTAAAGTCATATACACATTTTCTTAATCAGTCAGTTTTAACCCCTACACAAACTCACTTATCGGGTTAAGGAACAATTGCCAATAAACCTTAAATTACTATTAACATATGCAACTAGATAATAATGAGTGTATATATATAAACCATGGGTATGAATGCAAAATTAAATAATTTTACAGTACCAATATATATATAAGAAAGTGGGCACTTACAGGACTTTATGGAAAAAAAAAAGAAACATGAACACAGTCCTTTCTCAAGACATATATATGTAACGTGTTAGACTTATTCTAAAAGCAGGTTCTCACAGCTTGTCTTTTTATGTTTTCATTTTCTAATAAACAGGGTTATTTAACTTTATTTTGCGTGGGGTGTTTTTTTTAAACCCTATGGATGGCTGGTTGTCTTGGATCATTTACTTCTATCTAATGATCGACATCAGACATTCGATTTAGGAAAATAACTGCGTGTTTCACATTGAGCACAGTAGGAAACACAATTGTGCGCCAGCTGGCATGAAAGTTCATTTAG